TACCTCATCCATCCACACCACCATCCTTCCAGCCCTACCTACATCCACACCCATACTATACTAACCTCAACACCATCCCATCTATACAACCATAACCACCACCATGCCCCCTCCCCAACCCTCCCCCCAAACCCTCTCTCTCTTCCTCCGTGCCCAAACCACCCTCTACGGCCCCCTCATAACCACCACCTCCACCCCCCAAACCTGGACCCCACCCCCCAACTCCGGCGGGCATTTAGGCCGCTACCTCTGGACGGACGCCATCGGGGTCCTAAACTTCCTCACATTACACCGCATCCACCCCTCCCCTCCATCCCCAACGCACTACCTAACCCTCGCCTCCCGACTCATCGAATCCGTGCACAACACCCTCGGGCGCACGCGCAACCCTCCCCACCAATACCTCCCCGGAGCATCCCCCTCCCACCCATTGTCCGGCGGCCTCCGCATCGGCAAACCCTCCGCCAGCGGGCGAGACTGCGACGGGCAGTACCACCATTACCTGACGCTATGGATGTTCGCGCTGAACCGGATGAGTGTGGCGAGTGGGGAGGGGAAGTGGAATGCTTTAGCTGTTGAATTAGGAAGAGCTATACATCCGAGGTTCTTCATCAGCGGAGTTGATGGAAGGAGACTGGATAGGATGGTATGGAAGATGGATACGGAGTTGCAGAGGGTGTTGGTGGGAAGTGAGGGGAATTTGGACCATGTTGATGGGTTTGTGGTGTTTCGGGTTGTGAGGGCTTATGAGATTGCAAATGGGGGGGATAAGGGGGTGTTGGAGGAGGAGATTGAGGATTATAGGAGGGTGATGAGACGGAAGGGAAGGCAGAGGGTTAGTGACGATTTGTTGGATTTGGGGATGGGGCTTTGGACGGCGCATTTGGTGGAAACTGGGGATGGGGAGGAGGAGTGGGCGGGGGAGTTGTTGGGGAGGGCGGTTGAGAGGGTTTGTATGTTTTTCTTTTTTTTCTCTGCCTCTTTCTTCTTCTTATTCTATTCTTTTTCTGGTGCGGATGTTGGCTGACGAGGTGTAGATGATTTGTTTGAGAATAAGCGCTATCTCCAGCGTGATCCGCGGTATCGGTTGGCGTTTAGGGAATTCGGTGCTGCGATGGGGATTCGCTGTGTTGCGGAGCAGCAGGCCGAGAAGGATACCGCGGTTGATCTGAAGGTGTATGCGGATCAAATTGTGGATTTCTGGGCGCCGTATATGGCGGGTGAGGAGGAGGATGATATTGAAGATTTGAGGCCTATCACGCAGGTGATGTATGCGTCGGCGTTGATTCCGGGAGGTGAGTTCACCATTCATATTCTGAGGTAGTGATTTGGCTAATGAGTAGCTTTCTGTCGGGGCTTCTTCGACAATGAGCCTGTCATACCGCCGGTGCTTAATGTGTATTAAGGTAAGAAATGTATTCATCGTGTACTATACTCTACACCATCTATCATGCCATAATCATATCATGTATACTCAGACACCCGGCAATCCTACCACATTCCTCCATGGCAAGACCCGTCGAGGCAGGATGTAAATCGTATAAACCGTGCCGAGGGCAATCAACAGCCCCGTCAACTGCAATCATTAGCATCATCATCATTATCACTCCACTCCCAATCAGACAGTAACATACCTTCTCAAACCACGTATGGAACCAAATCCCCGTCATCAACAACATCCACCACCCCAGCCCAGCAACCGCCCAAGCAAACCGCCCAGACCAAACCCTCACCATATCCACCTCCTCACTCTCCTCCTTCTCCGCCGACCCATTCACATTTACACCACCTCCCTTCCCCCATCCATGACTACCACCCACCAACTCAAACACAACCAACGACGTCGCCAACACCAACAAAAATACATGCCCACTAACATCATGACCACCCTTCCACGCCCCACCAGCATGTTTACACGCCGCAGCCGTAAGCAGCGTCTTGACATCTGCCGCGGCAGGCTCGTTCTCCGCTAGCGGCACCGCCTGCTCACATTTCCCACCCGTCAGCACAAAGCTGCGGTCAATAATCGGCGGGCCAAAGAACCATTGCGTCGTGAGGTACCATACTGTTGTGGCGAGGACGTAGCGGAGGACGGCCTGGCCAGTGCGTCGGGCGCGGTGGCTGGCGGCGAGGGTGTAGGCGGGCTGGGAGAGTAGGATAAAAGCGAGGGCGGCGGTGGTCCAGAGCCAGCCGACTTTGACAAAGTATAGGTTGAAGATGTTGTCTTTGCGGGCGAAGTAGTTGACGCGGCGCGGCGGAGGGAAGGAGAGGTTGAGGTCCGACGCGATGGACGGGGCTAGGGGCTCGGCGTGTGGGTGGAGGGTGCTGGAACCGTCATCGCGCGTGCCTTGCGCGGTGGGAGAGAGGACTGAGAAGAGTGAGCCCACGATTAGGGTCGCTGGGTAGATGAGGAGCGCCGTGATGGGTGGTTGGAAGGGTCGTATCGCTGGGGCAGGAGGGTCGGGCGAGGGCATGATTGCTCGTCTGTTGGGGCTGGTGTAATTTATTTCGTTGTAGTGTTTATGGTAAAGGGGGTGTAGAGTATTATAGTAATCGGCTGTTGTAGAGCGCAATTGGCAATGGTCGCTGAATGAAGCGGAGGAAGAAGGCTGAAGAGGAAAAGAAGAAAGACTGGCGAAGTCGGCAGCGGATGACGTCGCTTGGTTTCCGCCCCAACCAGCGCCACTCTATCCTACCATTGCATGGGTCTGCATCGCCTATCATCACTCTATACGCTACTACGCAATACTTATTTCACATCTACAGTGGTCTCGCTAGTGGCATAAAATCATTATTCATATACCACCGTCACAATGGTATGCCTTATTTAAAGAGCTGATTAGTGAACAGTAGGCAGAGACGCCCGGAGCGGCAGCTTCCGCGAGGAGCTTCCGGCAAACACCATCTTGGGATACGACGTAATCTCCCAGTCCTGCGTCTCAACATTCCAGTTCGCAAGGTCACGGCGCGTCAGAGTTGTGCTCCACTGCGTCTCTTTCGACGGCTGCAGCGTGATACGCTCGAATTGACGCAGCACGATCTTGGGTTCGTTAGGGCCGCCAAGAGAAACATACTGCGATTTATTAGCTTTGTCCGACTTCGTTCGAATTTGCTGTCTACTTACCAGTTGAGGAACTTCATCACCCGCAACCTTGCCGGTGTTCTTGATAGTCACCGACACGCGGATGAGCTCGTCGTACAGGCGAGGGTTGCCGCCAGCACCACCACCGGCAGGCAGGATCGGTTGCGCAGAGCCATCGGTGGCTCCCTCGGGAAGATAGTCTGAGGCATCCTGCCCATAGCTAGCATCCCCAGAAGACGCCTCAAGATCGGTACTGTTGAGCCAGGGGTAGATGAACTTGGTGATTCTCTGCAGTCCATCGGGGTAGAGGTAATCCGACGCATTTCCGACCTCTCCGAAAGTCGGCGCTGCCTCAGTCTCGCCCGAAGCAGGCTCGTACGCAGGGGCGCTCAGAACCTCCACCTGAAGGTTCGAGTAGTTGAAGGTGGTGTAGCTCAGACCATAGCCGAACTCATAGATAGGAGTCTCGTTGCGCTTGTCAAATCCGCGGTAGTCAATGAAGACGCCCTCGACGAAGTCTTCCTGGGGCGCTCCGTTGCCGTTGTTGGGCTCGGTGTACAAGTAATCTTGGTAGGCCTCACGAGTCTTGCCCCAGGTGAAGGGCGACTTGGCACCGGGGTTGACACGGCCGTAGAGCACGTCGGCGAGGGAGTTGCCAGACTCCTGACCGGGAAGACCACCCCAGAGAATAGCGGTAACATTGGGGTTGTCGTACCACTCGTTAACCAAGACTGGGCCGACAGAGTGAATAATAACGATCGTGTTGTTGCAGTTGCTAGCAGCAGCCTTGATCACATTGTCGCCGTTCCTCCACAGGGTCAGGTTCCTGCGGTCACCCAGGTTTCCGTCGACATTGATATAACCCTCACCAGAGTCGGCGTTGACAAAGACAAGAGAGACACTACCATGTTGTCAGCATTCATTGCACAATAAGGAAAAAGAAAGAGCCCGAGATCTTCTTACCTGGCGGTCTTAGCAAGCGCCTCAATCTGATCAATAGCCCAGTTATCGGTCGCAGTGAATACGCCATTCTTGTTCTTGAGCACCTCGTTCGAGATGGCCTGCTCGGGGGTCACCAAGTAGGGAAAGTTGGCAGTGCCACTTCCCCAGCCCATCGCCAATGTTCCATTGTCGCACCCACGGTCACTGCAGCCGTTGGCACCATAAGGATTGGAACCCGCATCTTCTCCGATAAGGGCGACCAAGCGCTCCTTTCCAGTCAAGGGAAGAGCGCCATCGTTCTTGAGGAGCACCGTGCTGTCTGCTCCAATACGGCGGATCAACTCGCTATGGTTGCGTTGCACGTTCACGAACTGGTTGACCTTCTCATACGGTCCCTCCGAGACATAGTAGTACTTGAAGCCGTATTCATCTCTGGTCCATGAGCTGAAGTTGGGAGGAGTCCACAGACGGTCACGGCCGACCTTGTAGTAGGCGGCCATGATGCGGACAGCCATGTCATCAACACGCCATTGGGGCACCGTCCCGTTGAGCACACTGATGGTCAAGTTGGTACCCCAGTAAGACGTGCCACTGTCGTAATCGACGTCTCCCGGCATAGACATGTCCAATCCCGCCAAAGCACCACTCACACCGGCATGGTGAGCCGCCCAATCACTCATGACAAAGCCCTGGAAACCCAGCTCAGCCTTGAGCAGCTTGTTCAGAGTGTAGCTGTTTTGGCAGCCATAGCTGTTGTTGATCTGGTTGTACGAGCACATCACAGCACCGGCACCTGCACGGATGGCATCCGCGAAGGGCCAGAGGTACAGCTCATGCATAGTCTTATCGTCGAGGTTCGCGCTTCCACTCTCGGTAATATTGAATCCGTAGCCTTGAGCTTCAGGCGCCTGACGGAAATGCTCCTGCTCGTAGGCGATGTAGTGCTTAGCCGTTGCAACCACACCAGCATCCTGAATACCCTTGATTGTCTCTGCAAAGAGCACACCACTGAGGGCCGGGTCGGGGGAGAAGCCCTCCCAGTTACGACCGCCGTCGGGACTTCTACCGAGAGGGCCGGCAGCTGGACCCAATTGGATATCAGCACCCTTGTCACTAAACTCCTGACCCATAGCCTGGCCACGAAGGTAAGCCAGATTCTTGTCCCAGGTTGCGGCCACGTTGACACCGGCAGGGAACGCAGAGTTGTAGTCGGCTACGCTGTGTCAGCAAGAGCATCAAAGCCTAAAAACACCGAGTTGCTTACAGTCACGAACACCCAGAGGGCTATCCTGTGCACACATTCCCGGAATTCCCAATCTGTCACCATATATCAGTAGATGCTCCCTGTTTTGACAATCTTCACAAACTTACCGGGGAACACCTCCAGTCTGACCAACACATAATTCCAATTCCCATCTGGAGGTCGTTAGCAGGAGCATACACATCGTTTGTGCCACTGAGCCTTACCCAGTTCCCGTAGTCAAATTGACCTTCTCAGCCAATGTCATCTGCGAGACGATATCAACAGCGCGCTGGTATGCTTCCGCCCAGTCACCCTGGCCATTGGCCCAAGGGGAGGGGTAATACGGCGGGGAGTAGGCCAATTCATCCTTTGAATAGACAATTGTTAGTGGTGACGAAACAAAGAAGTGAATCCAATCGAGCGCAATTGCAATTCACACGACAAAGGAAGTGACGGCACGTACAGCGCTGGCCAGCGAGACGGCAGTCAGAGCCACCGCCTCGATCGAAGTGAACCTCATGTTTGCAGAGTCGCCCAAAAAGGGAGCAAAACAAACCAGGTGAGCAACTGTGCAACACCTATCCAATGGAGAGACTGGAGGTTTGGAAAAGACGGAAACGAAAAGAGCGAGAGAAAGGGGAGCCAGGCCATATTAAATAGTTTGAGCGCCACAAATTGGCTGTACGCCACGGGCATGCAAAAAGAGGAACGCCGACGATGATGTATGCCAGAGCAGCTGTCTCCGCAAAGCTACCCACTCATGCAATTCACAGTCCCGCATGCAGTGTCAAAGAGAGACACGCTACGCATGGGCGATGGATGTTTGGTCCGGTATGCTGATCGACGTGGGATGTCCCGATTGGGAGACTGGGTGGAACAAACCAGTCGACCGGCCCTGGAGGAGCCGGAAATTAGACAAGCAAGGCACTGTCGGAGAGCTGGAAGGAGCTCGAGCAATGATGCATTCGGGCCGGCAGAGCCATGCACAAACTCTACATCGGTTGGCAAAAGAGGTCGGAGGGTCAGGTGAGGTCCATTTTGACCGGGGTAAGGATTATTCCTAGCCTATGGACCAGCGCAACATGGGGAACAGCGTCCTTGGTCCACGCTGGACAAGTCTGGAGCCCCGCTTCCTTTGACCATTCCTAGTGCAATCAATAATAGTGACCGAGCTGGAAATGGTCTTGACCGTCTTGGAGACTGGGAGAATACGAAAAGCTGGGGGGAGGGAAAAACCATTCGGGGAAGTTGATTTAGTTCACTAGTTTGGCCAGGGGTCGCCCCGGTAATTACGTTACACAGTACCTCGTCCAGTCCCTGCAGCTGTGGGTAAACCGGCATCGTTACCTGCACTATCCAGGTTTACGTCAATACCGCATAGTAGTTTTTTAAACTCACTCATAGTGAAGTATGATCTTTGGCTTTCTCAAGTACATCCTTGTTGATGTATGTCTGATTTGGAAGATGTATCAGATCAACTTTTACATTCTTCAGTGAGACACCAGTCTAGCAGTTCATCGCCCTGCAAGTCTGGCTCATTCCGGCCAACTCTCGATACAGCAGGTGGACAAGCCAAACAATACTCCACACAGAGCGAATCCCGCGGCGCATTTAGCTTCTGCTTAGACGTGCCTGTGGCAGAGCAAAATACCTATGGCGCATGGGGAAATTGAGCATGAAGCAGGAGGCACTTTTGCCGGGTCTTTCGTCATTGGAGGAATTAGTTCTCAACTAAGTACTACTCCTTAGTACTACCACTAGCCAGTCTCCCATGGATCCGTGCCGTCAAGCCCATTGTTGGTCCGAATCCGGCTGGGCGTCTTACCGTCACAGTGTGTGTATCCACCGTGTAATCCCGTCTTCTTCCACTCATCACCCCAGCATTCCCCGCATTTCCCTTCCCTCTTCTCCCAGTAGCTGCCCAGCGGTCAGACCGATTGCACAACCAGTTGGTTTAAACAGGTGCCTGGCAACATGTCAGACAAGCAGACACCGCCAAGCAGAGATTCTGAGCACAACAAATGTCATCGTACCGACATGGCTCCAAGGCACCTTACGTCGACCCAACGGCCGGCCGCAAGGGTCAGCCCATACCTCCTACTCACTAAACAATGCAGTCCTCCTCCCACTGGAATCTCTTAATTTCGGTCAGTGAACACGAGCTACTATGGGAGAAATGCCCCACTTCAGAGCTGAATAAGATGAGGTAACCACCTCCTTCTTCCTACAACGCGGATGAGATCCCGTCGGGAGAAGAACGGGATGTCCCTCACTGGCACCGTACTCGGGCGTCAGACTTGACTCCGACTATCCTCGGTGTCGCCTAAACACGAAAGCCGCTCATCATTTATCCAAATTAGCGGTTAGCCTGGGGGGAAGAATTACCCCACTTTCGGCTAAGGTGCTGCTGACGGTGATGGAGCGCCACTGCGAAATTATGATGGCCTTGTCAAATATCCTATGAAGATGAGAAACTTCTTGCACGACTGTGGGTAAGTTATCTAGGTCCTAGTCAAAGAACATCTACTGCTCACACACAGTGAGTTGTCGGACAAAGTCCGAACTGTTGATCGTCCACGCATCGCCGGTAGAGCGGACATTGCCGACCACATGGCAGTCCAGTGACATTGAACCATGACGCTTGACCGGGCCACGAGAAAAGCATCGTTTTCGTAGAAACTTCTCGGAGGGTGGCTGCTCTCGGTCAGGTGCCGCATGCGCTCATGCAGAGGCAGGCCATTGGGGGTTAGTTGGAGATGTGGGGAATCTCTCCGTGGGGTACTCACTAACTAGTAGACTAGTCTAGTACCCTGAGGATTCGGGAATCAAACTCGATTCAAGTCTTGTTTCCGTCACGGACAACTAACTAGCACTCTCGATCACGGGTTATGTGTGGAGACTGAGTCGTTTCTTTTCTTTTCTTTTGCTTACCAAACGTCGCCTTTGTGCGAAAAGTAACCAAGACCCAGTATTGCTTGTGGGTATACGGTATTGCATGATTGAGGATGGGGTCCAGTCTTCGACTTTGGACTGCAGAATTCTCCGATTCCGGCCCCTGTCGAGCCCTACATGCAATATTTGCCTATCGCTTGTCTTGCCTAGTCTTCCGAGCTCAGTCCTGATCTGTCCAGGCGTCGTCGCCAAGATTTGGCTGGCTACGACTCGAGCCTCCCACCCCCGCATCATCCGCGCTCCTGGTCTCACACCCAAAAGTAACAAGCAACGGCATCTTTCCGCCTGACATCCTGTTTGCTGCTAGGCATGCCGATATTCAAAAAGCATCTTGACGCCGAAAGCCTCCAGACGGGAAGCAAAACCAGCTACATCGACCCGAATGCCCCCGGGCCAAGTAACCGGATTCTACGGAAGGATGAGAAACAACCGTACCCTTGTCACTGCTTTATAGCCGGTCCAGGTAAAGCGTCTCACCCACTAGATGCTTACAAGCAGCGCAATGCCCTCGTACATGCATTGGAAATAAAGCCTGGGCATTTCCAACTGCATACTAATCAATCTAATCCCGGTAGAAGGTACCTCATTACACGGTACATAGTTACCCGAGTTACCCTTTGCAATTTTAATTCTTCCCCATGTGGGGTGTATCCCGGGTCTGAGGGCCTCCACCTCCAGCCACAACCGTGACAACCCCGGGACGTGTAGCAGCTCACCAAGGCTCATCAACGGATGAACCCGAACGGCATCCACATGGTGAACCCGTAAGAGCCTGTTTTTCTACCGATGATTACCCGTACGACTGGCAGGTGCCAAGTGCAGTGTAGTCTAGAATGAAATACGAACTTTATCCCGAAAGTTCAGGATGAAATCGTGTACCAACGCTCCCAACGACGGAGTCATGGACTCCGGATATTCATCGGCGAGTTAAACATTTAGTAAAGGGTCCGAGCGAAGTGCACTAGGCAGTCAGAATAATGAATCTGGGGGTGTGAGACTAGATCTAGACTAGAAAAACTATACCTCTTAAATTTTATGTCTGCCTGTTGGATAACCTACAAAAAGTTTTTACTTCTTTCTTTGTCTCCTTCCCTGTCAACTATGACGTTACCATGCAGACATGTAACTACTACTAATGTACCATGCCTATGCCTTTCCCAATCCTCCACGGTGCTCAATCCCCTCTACTGTAGGACTAAATCTACTAGATGCTGCGCTTCGGATCATCGGATCGGTTGGGCCCGAATCTTACCTGCTGGATTACTTCTTTCTTCCTGGAGTTCTTTCCGCTTCTGCTCCATGTATATTGGTTCTACGGCAACAAGTATCCGGGCTAAGTGTAGGGTCAAAATATCAATGATGCTAAGGGATACTAGATGTTTCATCTATTTACCACATATTTACTTCGAGAATGTGTTAAAGAGCTCCTGCAACCTAGTTTACAAGTAGTGTACTAGTCGATGTCGAGCACGGCTTTCCGTATCGGTGCGGGTAGTAGTACTCGATATCAACATTCTTTGGGGGAACAGATTTCTATACTGTTACTAATACTGGAGGATTAGGGAGATCGCTAGACTACTATTATCAATGCTTTCATGTCATACTTGATCCTAATTGACATTATTTAGATATACTTGGTAGACCTTGGGCTCTGTGTATCACGTGATTTGCAGTATGTCACTGCTCGATTCTGATTGGCTGCTCATTTTGACGTTCCGGTGTATGGCATCCAAAAGCCAGGGCCATGGAATGCTCCCTCATTCTACGCTCGAGCATCTGATTATATTGTCGAAAGAATACTTCGCAAGATGGCGCACGAAGAGAAGGACCACCCCGATGTAGAGGCGTGCAGTGAGAGTCAACATGATGATTCCGAACAAGGCCCAACATCTGCTTTTCAGCAATTGGCTATACTAGATCGCTTCCTTGCGGTCTGGATCTTCCTTGCCATGGCGGTCGGTATCATTTTAGGGAACTTTGTTCCTAATACGAGCAAAGCGCTGGAGAGAGGGAAGTTTGTAGGCGTTTCTGTGCCTATTGGTACGTTGTTGTCCGCTCAATGCTTGAAATTGAAAATGAAAGGGTGTATACCAACAGCATTTTAGCTATCGGTCTCTTGGTCATGATGTATCCCATCCTGTGTAAAGTGAGGTTTGAGACGCTCCATCGATCATTCCGGGAGAAAGGACTCTGGGTCCAGGTCGGATTCAGCATCGTCGTCAATTGGATTATAGCTCCATTTTTCATGGTAGGTCGGTGTCACACCGTGGGCGATAGTAGGCTAATTTGAAGTAGCTTGGTTTGGCCTGGGCCTTTCTCCCTGACGAAAGAGGTCTTCGAGAGGGCCTGATCCTTGTGGGTATCGCTCGATGTATTGCTATGGTATGCCATACCCTGCCTGGGAGTAGTGTAACACGCTGACGAGCATAGGTCCTTGTCTGGACAGGACTAGCAGGAGGTGATGGAGAATACTGCGCGATTTTGGTAGCCATTAACTCGATCTTGCAAATGGTCCTCTTTGCACCCCTCGCGACTTTTTTCATCCGCGTCATTGGTGGAGCGAACCACGGTCTAACAATCGACTATTCGCTGGCTGCAAAAAGCGTCGGTGTATTCCTTGGTATCCCCTTGGGAGCAGCCATCGTCACTCGTCTCTGTCTCAGGTTCCTGATCAGCAGGGAGTGGTATGATAAGCATTTCCTGAAATGGATCAGCCCACTGTCCCTGATCGGCCTGCTTTTCACCATCTTGGTTCTATTTGCATCGCAGGGGCAACATGTGGTCCACCAGATCGTATCTGTTATCCGGGTGGCGGCTCCTTTGGTTGTCTACTTTGCTGTTATTTTTGGTGTCACTCTTGCCGTAACAAGGCGCTGCGGTTTCGGGTACAGGTTGTCTTGCACGCAAAGTTTCACTGCTGCCAGCAACAACTTTGAACTCGCTATCGCGGTCGCAATAGCAACGTTTGGCGTAGACAGTGACCAGGCTTTAGCTGCAACGGTTGGGCCCCTCATTGAGGTCCCGGTGCTTCTAGGATTAGTATATGTGGTCAAGTGGGTTGCAAGAAGACAGAAGTGGACCCCTTAGCCATCTTGAAGCCTATGTAAAATACCACCACAAAACAAGAGACATCAGCTATTGCTTATCTCGTCCAGAACCTGAAATAGTATATGATTTTGCACTCTGCACCCCTCCTCTGTAGTGAGTCCTTTGGAGAAACCGGCCCAGAGTTTCCTACGGATCTCTGACAACTCCACTCCACGTGTATTGTACTGATCAATCAATTCATCCGCAATAGCACAAAGTGTGGTGTTCAAAACATCTCCATTGCTTGGCCAGGACTCCACGGCTTCGCCCGGGCCACAACCACAGACGGATTGGTCTCGGACGGGCACTTCAAGGTCTGGGGCCCCTTGCACGGTTCCCGAAGGAGGCATTGTAGCAAGATCACAGCTTTGTCCCGGACTAGGTATCCCCAGCTCATTTGATTGCAGTGCACTGGTAGCAGCATTCCTCGCCTTTGGTAGACTGACTGGACTGGCTTGAGACTTGCACGGTGTTTTCGTCGAACGAAGCTTCGGAATGGCGACTTTTTCAGTTAACGCTGGCTCATCAGTTTGCAGATAGCGTTCTAATAGCTCCGACGTCAAGCCCGAGCGAGTCAGAAGGTATTTCAACTTCCTGTTCTCCGCCTCAAGCTTCTGCACCGCCATTCTATGGTCCACATCTTTACGACGCGCTTGTTCTTGCAAAGCAGCCAACTTCTGTTCTAGCTCGCGGGTGTGCTGTTGTTTTCTAGCGCGACTATTCCGTTGATTTTCTCGGATACGAGCAAGTCTATCGAGATCCTTCATAGACAAGTTAGCAACTTGTGTTGATCAGCATAGGCATGTTTGGTGAGCTTCAACCTTTTGGTGCTTATTGGTCTCCATCTCTTACTGGGTGGGAGCATGGTCAGTGCTCAACCAAAGTAATCTTTCCCGCAAACCGGCAATTCGAAACAACTAAAATGTAACTGTAAGCTGCCCAAGATGGTGGGCTTTTGTGGGGAAACCTAGCACTGGTCCTGGAGGTTCTTCAGTGAGTCTTCTGCGCCATCTGCTTCTGCAGCAAACCGTAGCCGCTTCGGAGCGTCTTTCCCAACTAGGATATATGGAGCGATGGATAACCGGAATGATCATGGAAGGTTGATGGATTCTCATCTACAGCAAGACAGCCTCGGTGGGACTGTAGATAGGAGTGATTGGACAGGTCTCTTGACTGATCTTGAATGATTCCAATAACTGATAGGTGGACTCTGCCTTGGCCCAAGCTCCATTGAAGCCATAAGCACTCTATCTGGTACGACGGTCAGATCAGGGGACAATTACACCCACGATGACCCACCGGTTTGTGAAACAAGAAAGAACAGGTGTCGGCTGAGATGAAGATCATGGCTGGGCTATTGGTTCTAGACTCTCTGGAGTTTGCTGCAGAGCAACTTCCATGCCAAGGGCCCAAACTACTGTGTACTTCTAAGTACTCCCTGCACTAGGACACCATAACACGTTGGGAAGTAGAACATAGACAGTACCTGGTAGAAACCAGAGCTTTTCTACACGTTATTCTACTCATTTCCAAAGAAATCAAAAAGTCTAGGATCGACTGGCTAGCGAGCAGTACAGCTATGCGGGTTCAGGTCAGCGCAGCAAGACAGATACGTAGCTATCGGATAAACGTAAAGAGCCAGGCGGCGGAGAGTATATCCCCCTTCCGCGCACCGCTGCAATCCCCACGAGTGGGGAGATCTTCAATCTCCCGGATCTAATTCAGCGAAGATTAGATATATCCGAATTCACCAGGGTCCAGTCCAGATCCGGTCATCGAAATCTTGTGGAAGGAAAAACGAACCCACCCGTCATGCCGGCGAACAGGTGGCGCTGGAGCTCAACTTGGACGACGTCACTAGCCGTCACTCATACTTGGGCGCCCCCGGAAGGACTGGTTCACTTTTTCGCATCCATGCACTCACATCTTCCTAATGTCTCTCACATCTTTATCCTCACATGGATCTCGTGATTCTTTTGCTGTGCCAATAACCTAATTCCTTGTTTCTACTCTTCATTGATCAGACGTATATCACCATGGTCTCCACGCGACACCATCCCCGCGACTTTCCACCCCCCGCGACTGGGAGAGCTTCGCCGCCATCGACACCATCTACGTCTTCTTCGAGTGCCAATGGCTCCGGAAAAAAATGGGTGCATGCCCCGTCTGGTGCCATTACCCTGTGGTTGATCTTCTCCATCCCGCTAGTACTATGGGACGCCAGCTACGTGCTGCTGCGCCCTCACCTGAAGCTCGATAGCAAACTACATTCCCCGATCTGGACTCCGTATGCGCTGTACGGCACAATTGATTACCTCTACGGCTGGCCGGCATTCAATGCGCGCAATGAGTTTACCATTGCGCAAACTATCCTGAATCTTGTCGAGACTGCTGGATACATTTACTACCTGGTGATTGTGTATACGTATGGGGTTACAGCGGGAAACACGGCGCGAGGCCAACGTAAAACCAAGAAAGGGCCATTCTGGATGCTGAAAGAGTCCAAGGTTGTTTCTGGTCGTCCCGGCGCGACTGCGCTTCTGGTGGCATATACCGCCTCTGTGATGACTCTTGCGAAGACGGCCCTATTCTGTGAGCTGCCATCATGCTGTCAGGGTTGGTTGGGAATATGACTCTGATGAATCTGTTATAGGGCTGAACGAGGCTTTCTCTGGCTTCGCAGACGTTGATCGCAGCGACCCTTGGAGCTTGTTCTTCCTGTGGATCATACCCAAGTAGGCTTTATTTCCATTGTTGGTGTTGTTGGCTCATCTAACGGTCGCATTAGTGCTCTCTGGGTCATCTTCCCTAGCTATGGCGTCTATGCTCTGGGTTCAGAGATCCAGGCGTCACTAGAGAGTGCCACGCCGCGTCAGCGAGTTGGGCGGCCCAAATCGTCGTAGGATCGCCCCGGACTGCAGCAAGCTCGGGGTAATGATAGGTTGCATCCGGCTAAAGACGCTTGACCAGGATACGAGAGGGGAAGTCGCGTGCACCACACTAGTACGGAGTTTGAGCACCGCGCATGATTGAAGTGATTGGGGGGTGGGAGCGGGAGGAATAATGGAGGGCAGGTTTGGATGTGGACATGTCGGAAGGTTTGGGTTATACATCCTACTATAATACAGGTCCCGGAGATACAAGCTTAGATAAATTCAACAATCGAGGAAACTGAGTAAGGAGGCGTCTGTCAGCCAGAAGGCAACACTAGTTAGTTGATAGCGTAACTTTTCCCCGGGATAACAGCAGCCAGTGATACTGCGGGCTAGGAACGCCATGCATTCGCTGGTATTTACCCAACGTCGCTGCAGGCTTCCGATACGCTCCCTCACTGCACGATTCCATCCACCGCTCTTGTGTACCTCGTTCAGTCTCGATGTTATTTGTCTAGTTCTCCTGTAGATTGGTCTTGTCTAGTGGGTTCCGCAAGGGTCTGGGTGGTCGAGCCAGTTGATGGTTGTCCAATGACCGCGGCCCCATATATATTACCAGCGATGACACTCCGGACTTGCACGTTCAGCTATTGAACCTTCTTCTCTACAACACCCATGTTCTGGAAACTGGGTCCCTTATTAGCGCTGTACCTTTTTTATGGGCATCATCACTCAGAATCCCCAACTTGACAATCTTACAACTACTTTCTACTCTATCGGAACAGATCCGGGGACGGGCACGCATTAATTACTAAAGGCCAATTTCCCCCAGGATGACGACGGCGAGAGGTGCCAAGCCTCCAGTCAGCGCCCGTCCCAGCCAGCCTTCCCCATACCCACCGTTTTCGACCACCGCCTCATCCCGCGGTTTCGTCCCGTCTTTCTCCCCAGAGCACCAGCAGGACCAGACCCTGTGGCCAACTCCCTCCGCATCCACCCCCTTCCTACCGAACGATGATCCGGGTCTTGTTCTTGGGGTACCTGCGCCCATCATGATCCCTCCGGAGTCCGACGAGTCCCCCTTGGCCTCCGGCCTGACCATGGGGCACGACGATATCGTCCTACCCGAAGACCTCGACACCCACAGCCGGGCCAGTTCGCGTGATCCAGGCAGTGCCGTTACTGCCGGTGATCCCGGTTCCTCGCATGAGTCCGGAATCGATGCCCAGCGGGACGACGGAAGAGGCGACCCCGCACACAATCACGATCAACAGGGAGGCGAAAAACCGGCGTGGAGCGAAATGAAGACGAAAGCCGGCAAGGAACGAAAGCGCCTACCCCTCGCCTGCATTGCTTGTCGAAGAAAAAAGATTCGATGCTCGGGTGAAAAGCCTGCGTGCAAACACTGTTCGCGCTCTCGGATACCATGTGTTTACAAGGTCACCACCAGAAAGGCGGCGCCCCGGACGGACTACATGGCGATGCTGGATAAGCGCTTGAAAAGGATGGAGGACCGGGTCATCAAAACTATCCCCAAGGAAGAAACCAGAGACATGGGCGCGATTGGCCGGTCGGTTGTTCGACCACCTCAACCGGGACAGACCACCAAGGCGCAGAAGAAGCGGACAGCAGAAGAGGCTTTTGCAGCTGAAATGGATGAGTGGGCTAGGGAGAACCGCAATGGTCCGCAGGATACTTTTCCAATGCGCCGTGAGAGTAAACCGGGTGATGCGTCGGGCTTAATGACTGCAGGTGCCGAATTTTTACCGTCACTTGAGATCCAGGAGCACCTGGCAGAGGTGTTCTTCGATTGCGTTTACGGACAATCCTATCTCCTCCTTCACAAACCAAGCTTTATCCGAAGACTCAAGGCGAGAACCGTGCCCCCGGTTCTTATACTTGCGGTTTGCGCCGTTTCCGCTCGATTTTCAACCCATCCACAGATCAATTCCGAACCTCCTTTCCTGCGTGGCGAGAACTGGGCCAATCCGGCAGCTGCTATAGCCCTGAGTCGCCATGACGAACCTAATATTACTATTCTGACCGTTTTCTTGCTTCTGGGCCTTCACGAGTTCGGCACGTGTCATGGCGGGCGGAGTTGGTCATTCGGTGGCCAAGCACTGCGCATGGCGTATGCCCTGCAGTTACATAGGGAGCTCGACCATGACCCTTTGCTAATCCAGAAGAATGGCAATGGGTCACAGCTCAGTTTCACAGATCGGGAGATACGGAGACGGACCATGTGGGCTTGCTTTTTGATGGACCGCTATAATTCATCCGGGAGTCAGCGTCCGCCGATAGGGAATGAGAAATTCCTGCAAATACAGCTTCCTATTAAAGAGTCACATTTCCAGATGGAGATCCCGGGACCGACGGAAGACTTAGACGGCAATGTCCTCAACCCAGTCCCGGATGATGTTGGTCAGCTATCTAATGCGAAGGAGAATATGGGAGTATCGGCCTTTATCATCCGTGCAGTCGTCATATGGGGCCGCATTGTTGATTATCTCAACCTTGGAGGGAAAAGAAAAGATACGCACCCACTGTGGTCGCCGGAATCTGGGTACACGCGCCTCAAGCGGCAAATCGAAGAGTTTTCCGCGTCTCTCCCTAGCCATCTCTTGTTCACTTACGAAAACCTTCAGATCCATGCAGCCGACCGAATTGCCAATCAGTTCATCTTTCTGCATATTATCATTCACCAGAACATGCTCTTCTTGAACCAATTCGCTATACCGCTATCACCGGGGGGTCGACCTCCCCGTGACATGCCTAAAGCATTCTTGAGCAATGCTGGCCGAGCAGCAGTGGAAGCTGCTCATCATATCTCCATCCTGATCGATCGTGCATCAGCTTATCCCCTCACTGTTCCGTTCGCTGGGTACTGCGCTTATTCGGCCAGCACTGTCCATATATGGGGCATTTTCTCGAAGAACGCACAGTTGGAAGCGCGATCCAAGGAGAATCTACGCCACACGTACCGTTACCTCAATAAAATGAAGAAATATTGGGGAATGTTCCATTACATGGTAGAAAGTGCCAAGGACCGATATCGCCAATTTGCCGATGCGGCCATCAAAGGCACGGTGGTTACGCAGAATGGCGGGCAGATTGCGCCTATGTTCCAGTATGGCGACTGGTTCGACAAGTATCCTCATGGGATGTCAAGGTCGCACTGGGAGGAACCTGATCTGCAAAAGGCGAAGAGCGACGATGGTGTCATGAGCCAGCGGCCGGACCTTCAGAGCGTCGAAGAGTTCTTTGCCAGCCTTTCTCCTACACCACAGCCGAGCGCCCCGCGTAGGCATTCGAAGAAGAGCAGCAAGGCCGACAGCGTGAGCGGGTTTGATGGACCAACTCCCCCGCAGTCGATGAATGACATCGGTATGGACGGCGCCCCGGGCATGCTTGGGACAACCGGTACAGGCTTCCCTCAGCCGGCCATGTTCAACCAAAATCGCGCGGGACAGCAGCCCTTCGCACAACCCGGCTTTGACTTTTCCATGCCCGCAGCAGACCAACTCCCGCAGCTGGATCGACAATTTGTCTACGGTTCCTTCGGCGACTTTGACCCGTCTGCATCCCTCGTTCCGCCCGAGAATCCGGCGATGCCCGCTCCCGTGAATCGCCCCGATGCTCCCCCTAATCAAGACCCCTCCACCATCTTTACCGGTCAATTAGATCCCAATGCCCCGTCCGGAGCAGGTGAATACTACCAGCCCAGCGCCTGGTTCTTGCCATTTAACCTCGACCCTGTGGGTGCCGGTGGTGGCCTTGATCCAAATTCACAAGCCGCCGGCACCGGCAACCCCGTCGTAGGAGGTCCCGATCTCTCCGGCTTCGGAAACATACCGATGGGAGCATTTGATCTGGGACTTACGGGGGTGAATCGCGGATCGCAAGCATAAGTGGCCATAACCCTCGTGCTTGCGGTAGAAGGATATCTTATTTGGTTTGGCTTTCAGTTTTCAGCGGGGTACATTCGGGCTTGGGGCGGACGGTTTGGTTTTGGAAAAGATTTGGAGTTATGAACGACCTTGGCTATGTGGTTGATGCGACGCTTTTAGTCTGGTCTGGCTATGTGATGCCTTGATGCTGTGTATTTATATTATGGTTATATATATTCCAACGCTGTCATGCGAGAGAATAAGAACATTCAATTTAAGAATAGCTATCGAGATTCCGAGATGAGACGATATATCGTTATTACAGCAAGCCAAATGGTGGTTGGACACAATCATGAAGCGGCCACTAACAAATTCAAATAAAACACTCTAATACCGCCATCTGAGCGAAAAGAAAAAAAGAACAAATTAAAAGGACAAAGATAGATGATAGAGCAAAAAAATGCATTGTCGGGGAGTCGAACCCCGGCCACTCGCTTGGAAGGCGAGTATCATAACCGTTAGACTAACAATGCTTGGAAGAATGCATCATCCGTGAATCGAACACGGGCCTCATCGATGGCAACGATGAATTCTACCACTAGACCAATGATGCTTCCTTGAAAGTAGCCGCCACTTATTTGTCTTATACCCCACTGTATACTTTCAGTGATGTAGGCTGCGGGATTTGCATGTAGTAGGAAAGTTTAACCTGCGTTTATCGGAGATAATGATATTTTGAATCTGCAGTTCTTTAGATTAAAGTTATAATCATGATCAATAAGAAGAGTAAAAAATTGTTTTGGTATTCAGTTACCTATTACTGCGACATCATCCCACGTTTACACAGTCTTATCTTGTTTGTAGTATACAGTCAGTCGTGTCGGCTAGTATGATCGACCTACATTGTATTACACATGTCCTAATATGTAGACAAGACATTCTTACGTTCCAACTACACATATATCCATCAAGCTCATTCTACGAAAATATATTTTGTTCGTTAGCTCAGGAATCATACACTAAATCTGACGTTAACGTCTTGCGGATTGTGAATTGTTGTAGGGAACATATTTCAACTAGTAAGCATTGTTAGTCTAACGGTTATGATACTCGCCTTCCAAGCGAGTGGCCGGGGTTCGACTCCCCGACAATGCATTTTTTTTTTCTTTTTTCTTTTTCCATGTTCCTTTCTTAAATAGAAAGAATGCCTCAATTCGTCGTATGCTACGTGGTGGAATATGTTTTTGAGTAGTTGATTTATTGTTTATTCTTTAAGTTGGGGACATACATGTATTTGTTCATCTGAGACCGTGAGCATTCGATAGTAGGTACTTCGTCAGTTGGCAAGGAGCTACTAGTTGATCAAAATATATATCCGAAAGTCGGTGTTGGTAAAATGCAAAACATGTTCTCATGCACCTCATAGTAGTAGAAATAATCAACGACGCTATAAAACAGAGCCAGCTCAATCAATCGATGAATCAACCAATGCATGCATGCACCATGCATATAATAATCGGCCATTGTACAACAAATACAACCAATGCTGGCAGCAATACATATAACATATCTGATAAAAGTTGCGCTATCGGTCCCAGAAATAAACAAAGCCTGCCAACTAACAAACAATTTTAATCTTCCCACTCCTCATCTAACTGGTCTATCAGTCGATTCTCGGCATCGACGTCACTGCCTCGACGGCCGAAACTGCCGCGGTGGTTGACGCTGTTGCCGCGGGTGTGGCCGTGGCCGAGAGCCGGGGAACGTTTTAGGCGGAGGAGGCGGGCTAGGGAGGAGAGGAGGATGATGATCATGTCCTGTTTGGGGAGGAAGAGAGAGAGGAGATGGTGTTAGCTAAGGGTTCTGTATAATAAATGGTATTCTTGAAGAATAGCAAATGAGACGGTTGTATGTGTTCGGATAGATGAGTGAAGCAAGGAAAGATTTCTAGAATCAATCACTCGAGCTATTGACATGTTTCCAGCTTGCTCTATATGGACGTCTTTGCCAGGCCTGCACAAGCAATGACTGTATATACCGTGTTCAACACGGGCTAGATATCCAAACGAGTGACTTCGAGGACGAGCAAAGAAAGACAAGCGTAAGGAAAGAAGGAATGCAAGCACGCCTGATGTAATTGAGCTCCAGACCAGCCAAAGCAGATTCAATCCATCCTCGAAACAGGCAACCTTGCATTGCCAAACTCCTTGTACGAGGCCTGCTCATGCCGCCGGGACCGTCGGAACGGAATTAACGCCAGTATACTTACTTTGATGAAGTCGAGCATTCCCGCCCAAAGACTGTAGTTCGGGCACTGTCTCCAACCGCGCTGGTGCATGACGGTTCGTTGGTATGCGCAACCACCGACTAGGTACGCCGCCACGGCGATCAAGGCACTGTGCTTATTAGTCGCTGACCATACCGTAGGGTATTTCCTACTTACATTACGCCGAATACGCCGCCTGGCGAAAGGCCCGGGTTATCCGGTGTGGGCGCGGTAGCGCCACAAGCGGCAGAGCTTCGCACCTCGAAGAAATATGTGCACTGGTCCATGGTGCCGACAAAGGAGACCGTCGCCTGGGAGGCAGGGGTGTCGCGCTCACACAGGAACGACATGATGGTGGATTTGGTGCGGGCGGCATTTCCGATGTAATCGCCGGCACAAGGGGAGCCATTGGTATAGTTCATGACCAGCTTTCGGCCGCGGAAGAAGGGGTCTGATGCTTGTTGACTGCATCGGGTCAGTCGAGTGATTATGGCAAGTGGTATAGAAAAGTAGGGTCACCGTACCCAATGGAGTAGACTTTACCCTCCCTCTCATAGTAGGCGCTAACATTCCTCCACCTTGAGCGGTCCACCCCCACCACATCCTTGATATCTTCGACCACGGGCGCACAGATGTTTAGCGTAAAGTTGGCATTATAATCGTGTCCTCTGGCGTGCCAACTCTCGTCTCGGGCGCCTTTGCGAGGTTTGTCCCCGTCTACCGGGGGTGGAGATAAGGAGATGGTATTCAGATCGTAGAATAGGCCGGTCGTCGGAGAGCGGACGACACAGGGAGAAAGGCCATCCTTGGGAGCAGAAGAATCGGAGGCAGCATGAGAGACAAGCGGAGCAGCCAGAAGGAAGAGGAACCTCAGCAACGAGGATGTGGGTGGCTTCATGGTGGGAGGATGATCTCCGGTGGAGGCAGCCGGGACGGTCGGCGATAACGGTTCTAAGCCGAGGAAGGGAACGGAGGATCGATCAGGCAGCTGGAGGTAGGGACTGATCGGTAAGCTTGGGAAAATCGAAGGAAAGTAGCGCAAAGGAGAGACCAAAGGGAAAGAAAAGAAGTGAAAGAGGGAGAAAAGAGGGGGAAGGACGAGGAGGAGCAACAGGTGAAGCAGGCGTCGTAATGCGCGGAGATGAAACGTCGCATTTCTTGCGGAGATTCCATCCAGAGCTTCTCACCGCCCGCATCGTCGGCTCCGCTTCTGCCAAAAGTTCCGCGGCTTCTTCTCCAGTTTCTCCTTAAATCTCCATATCAAGATCCAGTATAGCCCGCCATGGCTCCCAAGAAGGACTCCAAGACCAAGGTCCGGGTGCAGCCCGTTCCAGAGAAACGCGGCTATGAATTCGGAGGCCCGTATGTACTCAATGCCCAGTTACAATTGACATTTGGGATACTGACCCTACAGTCTCGGTGCGTTCGGGATCGTGTTTGGTCTGCCCGTGCTGGTTTACAGCTTCACCTTCCTGTGTAACGATGTCTCCGGCTGCCCGGCACCTTCGTTACTACACCCTTCTACCGTGACGCTTGACCAATTGAAGGCAGAGGTTGGCTGGCCCAAGGGAGGTTTTGCGGATTTTTACGACACAAGCGTGACACTCTGGGTCTTGGGCTATTATCTGCTTAGCTTGGCGATGTACGTGTTCCTGCCTGGCCAGGAGGTCGAGGGCACTGAATTGGCGTGTGGAGGAAGATTGCCCTACAAGTTCAACGGTTGGTTTCTTCAATTGACTCGTATCTTCCTCTCTAACACGCCCTGCAGCTTTTCTGTCGGCCGTCCTGATCCTCTCCGGCTGTGCGACGGGCACTTACATCTACGGCGCGGACTTTGCTGTCTGGACTTTTCTCTGGGACAACTATCTGCAGGTAATCACCGCCAACCTGGTGATCTGTACTGTCATCTCCATCTTCGTCTATGCGAAGAGCTTCACTGTTCCTGCCCCTGGGCAGCCCAACCCTGAGCTCCGCCAGCTAGCTCCGGGTGGCCACACTGGCAACGCGTTGTATGATTTCTTCATTGGCCGAGAGCTGAACCCCCGGGTACGCCTGCCAATTCCCTTCGTCAGCGAAGCTTCGCGCACGATCGATATCAAGTCCTGGCTCGAAATGCGCCCCGGCTTGCTGGGGTGGATCATCCTGAACTTGTCGAACATTGCCCGCCAGTACCGCACCTACGGCTACATCACGGACTCGATCGTCATCTCGACTGCGTTCCAGGCGTTCTACGTCCTGGATGGCCTGTACATGGAGCCTGCCCTGCTGACTACTATGGACATTATTATGGACGGCTTCGGGTTCATGCTCTCATTTGGCGACCTCGTCTGGGTCCCTTTTATCTACAACTTCCAGACTCGCTACCTGGCCGTCTTTCCGTATGAGCTGGGTTTCAATGGCATTCTGCTCGTCCTGGCCGTCACCGCTGTGGGCTACTCGATCTTCCGGGGCGCCAACAACCAGAAGAATCGGTTCCGCACCAACCCGAACGACCCCCGCGTCAAGCACCTCAAGTACATCCAGACGGCTAGTGGCTCCAAGCTGATCACGTCTGGCTGGTGGGGAAGCGCCCGCCACATCAACTACCTGGGCGACTGGGTCATGTCGTGGTCGTACTGCCTGCCTACGGGCATTGCCGGCTACGCTATTATTCAGACTATCAACCCGGCCACCGGGGATCTGCAGAAGCAGGCAGTGCAGACCCCCGAGAGCCGAGGCTGGGGAATGATCTTTACTTACTTCTTCCTGGTGTACTTTGGCACGCTGCTGATCCACCGCGAGCAGCGGGACGAGGAGAAGTGCAAGCGCAAGTACGGAGCCGACTGGGACCGGTATACGTCGTTGGTCCGCAGCCGGATCATTCCTGGCATTTACTAAAGATAATGGGGATATAGACCGAACAAAAGTTCTTAATGTATGATACTTTCTCGTCTGAACGACTTCACATATCGGACATGACATGTATTAGCTAGATTGGACATCTTTATTCTTTTTAATGTCATCACGCTTTCTCTTCTTCCCTCTATGGTCCACCAGCACCTCTAAGCCCCATTCATCATCCCCATCATTCGGCACCCACGGCACCAGCACCTTCTTCGCCTCCAACATAGCCCGCTCTCGCGCCTTGCCTGCAGGCGTCTCCAGCGCAGCCCTCTTGAAGTCCTTATACGATGCTGCCCTAACCACCTGCTGTCCCTCTCCCGCAGAACCATCACCAACACCATCACCACCATCCAACAACCCCCTCAACGCCCCCCACATCTTCGCCCTCGACAGCGCCGACGCGCCCTTCCCCACCGGCACCGACGCCTTATACCCCTGCTTCATACCACCTATGATCGTCTCATACAACCCAGTCCACGAACCACTCAATTTAGCCAACTGCTTCGCCCCATTCTCCGCCGCATAGCGATCCACCCCACCACCAGAAGCACCCCCAAGAACCGGTGCAGCCGTCCAAACAGCCGAGATATTCCCCGGCTTACACTTCATCCCGGCCTCCTTGCTCTTCGGTTTGCCAAACGCCCACAACTCCTCCACGACCTCTGTATCGACAGAGAGAACCTTAAACGGATGATACCCGTACCCACCCCCTCCTCCTTCTTCAAACCTCAACATTAAAGGCCCCATTCTCCCATCCACCCCCCAAGCCCTCACACACCCCGTCTCACTCACCTCCTCGCGCGGCATCACTACCCCCGCCAGATACGCATTCTCCGTGACAGCCACCAGCAGACTCATACCCCTGGACAAGAGAGACGACACCTGCCGCAGGGCAAGCTTGTCCGAGCAGGACTTGCTTTTCGTGGATGGGGCGTCTGCGCGCGCGGGCTTGCGGCGGACAATACCTAACTTGGAGAAGTTGGCGCGGCCGGAGAGGAGACCGGCCTCTTCTTCTTCTGAGGGGGATATTTCCCATGGAGTGGGGTCGTCTTGCGCTGCCATGGTGAGTTCCATGCTTGCGTCGCCGCAGGGAGCGGTGGTGCAGTAGAGGTAGATTTTTAGGGAGGGGTCGAGTTCGAAGGGTGGGTTGTTGTTGGGGGCATGGCGGCGGCGAATGAAGGGTGAGGGCTTGGGTGTAGAAGATGATGAAGATTGTTGATTCTCATGATTTATCAATGCGCGGATCTCACTCAACAGCCAGTAATTGAATGCGCGGAGGGCCAGGATCTCGGCGTGCCAGTCGTGGAGGACCAGACCGGTGCTGGTTGGCAGTTGCGTGGTAGGGAGGCATTTTGCGCCGGATCTGGATGCTTTAGTATTTACTAGATACATCTGTGATTATATAGGGTAGATAGTTGGTTGGTGTACATACGTAACAGCCACACAGGTTAATTCTTCTTCTTTTCCTCCCTCATACTCTTCCTCCCCGTTTGCCTCAGATACATCTACACCAACATATCGTAAGCCGGTATACACCCAACCATAGTCCCTCTCCATATATTCCTTAGATAGTGTCAAAAAAGGATATACACACCCCTCACCACCACAACCCCACACATAGGAATCCACTCCCTCGTCCCATCATCCCGTAGAATAGGTTTACTGCGTGCCGGCAAACCCTCAAAGTGAGCGTGCACGAGTCTCGCAATTCTCTCCGCAAGTGCAGCACCGTCCCCAGCATCCCCTCCTCTTTGTCGTTCCATTATGATTCTATCGTTCTAGTTATGTATGCTGTAGTTGTGCCATGTGCTATCCAAACCCACTTTTATATCAGAGTGGGTGCATGTCACGTGACTTATCATTCCTTATCCATCTCCAACAACTAAACTTAACTTATCCACTCAATCCATCCAACTCAAACCACCCATCTACTTACACTACACTCCACCCACAACCGTTCAATCTAATCACATCCCTTAAGAACTATAAAAAAAGAAAAGAGGAAGGATAATCAAAATGGCCGACAAACTCCGCACGATCCAAAACCTCGAGGCGATGCAAGCGCGCTACATCGGTACGGGCCACGCCGACACGACGAAATACGAATGGGTGTCGAACATTGTCCGGGATAGTTACGCCTCGTATATCGGTCATCCGCCTATGTTGTCGTATATGGCGCTGGGAATGGGCGAGTCCAAGGAGAAGGTCAGGGCCGCGATGATTGAGAAGATGGTTAGAGGGGCGGGGAATCCGCCGGAGGTTGGTTATCCTTATTTTTCTTTCTTGGTTTTGGTTATGTGGATGGGGCTGATGATGTGATGTTTAGACGCAGGAATAAGGTGTTTATTATTTACTGGCGAGGGGTTGGGTGTGGGGTGGATGGGATTATATGAGGGAGTTGGGTAATTGGTGATGGAATATTGTCGATGGAAGAAGGATAGGTAGTGGGAGTATGTGCTGTGCTGCGCGTACATGTGATGCAGGTGCAGATGATAAGGACACTTGCATAACTATTGGAGTTCAATGGTGGGTAAATGGCGTTGGAGGCTTCATGCATTACATTACATACTAAGGTTATGGACTAAGATGGGATAAAATCAATCAATCAATCAATTGCTATGTACAACGCTACGCTAATATACAATGACATGCTCATTTCTCCCCGTTTCCATGTCCGATATCACTTTCATCACCCTGCGCCGCTGCCAACCGCGTATTCTCATTCTGCAATGACCCGATCAAATCCAGCCATTGCTTGCGCTCTCCGCGCAGTCGATGCACCTCTTTCTTGAGCACCTCCACCTCGCGGCGCAACGCCTCAGTTTCTGCCCGCGCGCGATGCTTCTCCTGCTTGTCTGCGTGCTTCTGCTGCCGCGCCTCGATCTTCGATGCTTCCTTGACCTGGTCTTTCTCGATCTTGCCCAGCTGTTTCAGCAGCTTGGACTCGTCGTGGAACAGACCCGATGCAACCTTGTGCATCTTCGCCGTTTCGTGGTCGGGGTTCTCAGCGTGACGGCTCTTGCCTGAGGATTGGCCCCTGTGCACGCTGCTGGCTGGGCTGCTGCTCGGCGGTTCGCTGCTTGCTTGCTCGTTTGTTGCTGCTAGAGCGGTCGTCGATGCCTTGTCGCGCTTGGAGCCTTCGACTGGTGAGGTCACGCGGAGGGCTTGGATGTCGGCTCGTACTCTATCCAGCTGTGCTTCGACGTTGCGCTTTCGCTCTGCTAGCTTTGCCAGCTGCTTCTCGTGCGATGTCAGCTTGCCTTTCTTGTTCTTGGTCATTAGCTCCAGCGCAGAGACGTCGGGGCCTGCTTCCATGGATGACTCGATGTCCGAGTTCGCTGATGGTGCTATCGATGCTTTGTCGGGCGACACTGCATCATCTTCGTTTTCCTTGACTCCCTCGACATCTGGCTCCGTGCCGCTGGCAGGGACACTCTGAGCCGAGACATGACGTGAGTGCTGCGGTAGGTAGTCCAGCACCGTCTGCGGCGCATACCGCTCGAGACCGGCGTTCACCAGGTATGCGAAGCTGGCAATCAACCCGTGATGTTCGACTTCGGTGTATGACTCGTCATCGCTATCCTCCTCACTGCTAGACGCATCCTCCCCTTCCTCATCATATTGACTGTGACTGCCCACCGACCTGACCGTCGACCTCCTCTTCCTCTCCCCGTCCCGACAAGCCCAGTTCAGGAACTTGACAGCATCCGTACAGATGCTCTTGGGCGTGCCCTTCTCCACCATCCACCTTGGAATATTACCCCCAGGATCACTCCTCGTCACCATCACCCATTCAACCGGATTCATCGCCCCCTCAGGCTTATTCTCCACAGGTATCTCCCGAATAAACTCCACACTCTCATACATGCCCCGAATATACCCCGGCACAGGAGGCACCTCATCATGCTCGCACGGTCTCGACACCATCATCCACTCCCTCCCCTTCCCTTCCCTCTTCTTCCTCTCCTCATCACCCTCACTCTCATCCCAAGACACAATCAAACTCACAAAGTCCCGCGCAGTCGTGGGTTTCGGGAACTGCGCGGAAACATGAAACACCTGCACCCGTCCAATCACCCCATCCCCCTCATTATCCCCAGCTCTAACCTCAATCCCCTCAACCAACCTCTCCGCCCCAATCCCCCTAACCGCCTGATCCGGCATCTTCCCCTTCCTTATCCGCTCCTGATTCCTCCTCAACGTCTCCCCCATCTCCCCCGACAATTTCTCCCTCCACCGCTCAAACCCTAACCCCTCATGCACGCTCCGCCTCCCAAACCAATGGCCCTTCCCGTCCGCCCCATGTAACTTGTATATCGGTATCTGGAGCGGGTTGTCCCTCGTATTGGTGACTTTTATCGGCTTGCTCCATTGCTTCCGCAATGCTTGGACCCCCTTCCCGTTCCCACTCCCACTCCCACTACTACTGCTCCCATCCCCATTCGCATCCCCATCATGATCCACCAAATCATGCACAGGAAGCGCCCCACTCGCCTTCACTACCTTCTTCGCTGGATGATCATCATATGTGGCCGCCGCACCGTGCTGTGCCTGGATGTCATCGTCTGAAGGCAACGGCACGGAGTCGACGATCAGGTGCGCTTTTGTTCGGAGGTCGGTGATGTAGGCTCGTAGTGCGGCGGGGTCGGTGCTGGGGACATCGGTCCAGATGGTCGGGCAGAGGGCTTGCAGAGATTCTTGGAGGGTGGGGAGGGGCATTTTCTATTATTGAGGTGTTGATTTAGTAATCTCAATTGTAATGCAATGCGGTTCGGTTCGGTTCGGTTCAATTCTTGTGTATGTGATGTGGTGGGTCATGTAAGACGTTTCTTTTGTGATGCCGGTTCTAGAATTATTCTCTCACTCTCTCTGTGTGTGAGGGTTGGTGTAGAATTGATGAGCTATTGTGTAAGAAATGTTGGAGTGATGATGAGTTGTAGGTTAGGGAAGATTCCGGGCGATGGGCGGACGGAGTAGGAGGAGGGTATGTCACAGGGGGACCTAGGCAACCAGGCGGACATGAATCAGAATAGTACACTAGCATTAAGTGAAAGCTTAAACCACATTAAGAAGCAGGAGTTCGTCAGGATGAAGATAATGAATGAATGGTACCTCATAGGTTCTGGTGGTGGTGGTTGCGGAGAGTCGGGGACTGACGTCACCGGGTCGGGGCAGAAAAAGACCGTTCTTGCCGATGAATCCAGCAAGGTCCGTCTCGCCCCTGGCAGCCATGAGATCAGTGCTTTACTATGTCTACGCCTTACTCTACGTCCTGTCTACTGCGCAGTGCCGATCGTATTGTGGTCCATTATGTCAGACTAAGTACATCGTGCCAAATGATTCAGAAAGATGGTAGTAATGCTTAAAGTAAAGAACGAAGATCCAAAGAAGACTGGGCGCAGCCCTCCAGCATCCGATTCCCGCTCAGTCTCACCCAGTGAGAATCTGAACGGGCGTATCCAGGTATTTTCAAACCCAGCCTGGATGATAGGAGATGAACCTACCAGACAGCCACATTGACGGGACAGTAAGCCTGGAGTTAGTCTCGTAAGGTCCCACTTATGGTCACAGACCGTTAGTTGGTGACCCGACCGGTCCGCCACAGGCGGATGTCCAGATCAGAGACGCGCTCCAGGGCTACCTGCACCACATCATTTGTGTTGCCAAACTCTGCAGCCATCACATCCCAGATGTAGATAGCCACAGCAGTCGCTAGCCACCTCTGCTACTGATGGTAACCTGTACCCAGCAGACGATGTCGTCAGGACGACCACCATGCACAGCACAGTAGCCCTCCCAACTCCGCGACACGAAACGAAGGGCGAACATTCCTCATCCAAATCATATCCCAAGCCGCGAGGCAAACCAGGTCTTCATGACATATAATGCGGGATTGAAAGGGGGCATCCCCAAAACCAGAACAAACAGCCGACCCGCCGCTCTTGATGCTATAGAACGAGAAAAATCAAACAAAAAAACGCTAGCGCTGTCAAAGGCAAACGAAAGGAACAGGGCACTTGTGGTGGAAACTGGTGTCATCGAAAATAAAAACGAGATAAGAAAACCAATGCAAAGACGTGAGGGTGTATCATGTGTTTCGCAAATCATCAAGGGTAACGCCGTCATTGATGCCAATTAGTCTGATGAGGGTATCCGTGGGGATAGGACCCCGGTCGTTCTCGTGACTGTGTGTACGCGGGCCCCGGTGGCATGGAGCCGTAGTCATGTTGTCGGTACGGATCCTCGGATCTATTCCAAAGACACGCGAAGTCAGGGATACCGTTAACATCAAGTGTCTGGTTCCATGGACCTGTTACATTGTTGTCCCGTATGGCAGTGTAAAATCTTGGTACCGGTTCTCCCATCCAAACCCCGCCAGACCAGCCGCTGTGCTGCACGGTTGCACTAGCATGCTCGGCAGCGGGAGCGCCGCGATGGCCGCCGACGTCGCCGCTGTGCTGTAGTATTGTGTCGCATTGTATGGTGACGTGGTATATGGCTGGCTGAACGTCGGGGAAGTAAGCTGCGCTTCTCCCATGCCGTTCATCGTGGTCCACATACCAGCGTTCGGCTCGCCGGTGCTGGTTGTTGCTGGGCTGGATGGGAGTACCTTCCACGACTCCAAAGGCAGTGTTTGTGGCATCGGCTCTTGCCACCAGGTTCCCGGTACGGTCGAGCTGGGAAGGAGAGGGGTCGAGCGGAGGACGTCAACTACACGTGGCGGCGGGGGAAGTAGAGGCACGAAGAGACTGGTTATCGCCGCCTTCGCGTCATCGCTGCGGCCACCAAGCAGTTCGCCTGCGCCATCCTCCTCGAGCCCTTCCAGCGCGAGCGCCTCGGTGCGATAGACGAACTTGTTGACGGCTTGCACAAATTCCTCGTGCAGCTTCTTCAGCTGACTATCCTTGTCGGGCCAGTCCCAGGTGCTGGCAGCCGTGTCGACGGAATATATGTCCTTGTGGTAGTCGACCAGAGCCTCGATGGTCTCCGGGGTCAATTTAAAGGCGACTTCGTTCTGCGAAACCATGTCGACATGCACGACGTACGCTTCGACGTGGACCATTTGGTAGTTGTACATGGCCTCAACGAGTGGGTTGTCGTCCTTCTTGAGTTCCGCATCGGGGGCCTTGGGAAACATCAAAGAGCACAGCGTCCAGATGGCGTCGGGGGATGACAGGGTCTCCGTAAGGCATCTGGTATGCTGGGTGACATTGTTAAGGGGTCGCTTGACTCGGTTCACTCTTTTGAGGGTGGCAGTCAGCCAGGGCTCGATGCGCGCATTCAACACCACGTTCGGCGACGAGCGTGGTGCGAATGCGGCTGCCGACGAGGGCAGCAAGACGGTTGGCATAATTAGACTGCGCAGTGACGAGCAAAGATGGTGCTATACTTGACGACAAACGAACGCAAAAATGAAGGGCGGATCAATAAAGAGAGAGATAAGATAGGGTTGAAAAATAGCATAGAGGCGACATTCGCCCACAGCGAGTGATTTATCCCGATACAGTCCGAAGCGTGACGGCAAAGTAACTTGGAGTCACGAGGACCGAGGCGTGTAGGGGCAGCGCGGAAAGACTAGAAAGAAGTCGGAAGGAAGGCTGCCTGCCCGGGGGGAGGAGGTTGGTAGTAGTATATATTAAAATCCCCACCGTCAGGAACCGGGAGTGGAGTGGAAAGTAGTACTACTTAAGTAGTAAGTAGTAGTAGTGGTGGTGGAGGAAGAGGATTGTATAGGTCGAAATTACTGTGTGTGTGGGCGAATGCGCAACAGAAGTGAGGGTAAAAGAAAGGAATGGCAACGATGATAAGAAAAAGGTTTAAAATAGAAAAATGAAAAATAAAAAGGACCAGACGAGCGGCAGAAGAGGGGAGGAAGAAAAGAAAAAGAGCGAGGCGGGGACAAACGGGGAAGAGAGAAGGACAAAGAGAAGGAGAAGCAGCAGGAAGACGAAGAAAGAGGAGAAGGAGGAAAAGAGGAGAGGGGCGAGGGTGACCCAAAAGGGAAAGCAAGAATCCCGACCAACTTTTCGGGATGGATCAGTCAATCCTAAATGGAGGTAAAAAAGTCAACTGAGGGAGTTGATGGATGGATTGGATGGGATGCAGGATGGATACAGTAAGAGGCAGTACTGTATGAAGAGGGGGGAGCAGCAGCCAAAACCGTGGTTCCGAGCGAATTTATACAGCCGCCAAATGAGGTGAGAAGGGCAGATCTGTCACCCAATGTCAAGAAATGTTGGCTCCGACTGTCAGACCCAAAAGAAAAGAGAAGTCGAGGGATAAATAAGAAGAGAAAGAGAGAAAGAGAGAGATCAAATTTGATCAATATAACATTATCGAGTCACTTCTCTATAACAAAAATAAGATAAAATTAAAAAAAAATCAGATCCAAATCCCAACTGTATCCAGCAGCATACACACTGATACATACCCATATCCATACACACACACACAACACGCGCGCCCTACATTTACCCATCCAGCTTTTGCCTTGAAGTTGGAAAGTCTCCAATGGCGCAGACCGGCGACTTTCGATTATTCATTTTAGAATTTTCAATTACCTTTCCTATTCTTTCCCCCTCATTTTGTTACATTTTGTTACTTGTTTTCCTAGAATTATGTTTTTTTCTTTTTCCTTTTCTCTCCTTTTTTTTTTTTAGAGGTGAAGAATTTTTTTTTTTTCTCTCATGCAGACGCGGAATCCCGATCGTATGGTACGAGAGAAAAATTGGCCACCGTCCGGATTGACCGTCCGATCTCAGGTGCGCAGCAGCAGCAGCAGCAGCGTCAGGTCTGTTCTTCTTCGGGCTGGGTTTAGCAGGATGCAGGCGTCCAGAAGTGTCGTCGGTGGTGGAGACACCCGACCAGTCCTGGCGTGGTCGATCCAAAGATGTCATTGCTAAGAGATTCCCTAACTACCGTCTCTTTTCCCACACCTGAGTCAAGAAATGGGGCCAACTTAGACCACACTACGATCGGGGCGGGTAGGTAGCATATGTTAGTGTGTATGGCACACTAAGTACATACTACAAATTCTGTGTAGGGTGGACACTCTCTCGCTCGCACAGTACCTAACTACGGGATAAGTTTGGGTCAACAGGCGCTTAGTCTAGTTAGTATTCTCTTTCTTTCCACCCCTAGTCTATCTACCCCTCCAGAACAATACCGGGAACAGAAGACGAGGAAATGTTCCAAACAACCCTTTGGCGGCATCGCAAGAAAGTTCGACCAAGGCGCCCGTCGTTCCCTGGCGGCATTGCGACCTGATTTGGAGGGTTTCGGATGGTTCCTCGGCGGTCGAATCGCGTGGGAGAGACAGCACGAAAGCTAAGTAGTGGTAGTAGTATCATCAAAATCCCTCTCGGAGCTATGTGCTTTTTTTTTAACCCCCTTTAACTTTTTTTTTTTTTTTCTTTTTCTTTTAAATTGTGTTGCGTGTATTTCTTCATTTGATTGTTCTGTTTGGTCGTAAACTCCTTTTTCTTGCGGAGATTGGGATCGTGTCTGGACTGCTCTGGACATTTACGGAGTGCGACGGTGGGAATAAGAGGTCGGACTAGACCCTCGTCCGTGTGTCACAGGCACGACCCAGACTGACGGTCGGACGGACCGTCAGGTCTGACATCCCGTTCACGCATATGAGTTAGAAGAAGTTGGAGGTTACACTGAGGAATAGACAGATGGAAAAGACGTCAAGGCAAAAGATGGTGGTGCATGAGCCGTCTGGGGGCGGCAGCAACAGCAGCTGGGAAAGTGGGAGGCGCTGCAGAAGACGGTATGCATTTTAGTCCGGCGTGCAGGTAGACAGGGCACGGCGATGCCAACTGCAATGACCAAGAGGGCTGGCTAAGCCCCGATGGCTGATCCACTTCCGGATGGATGGAGGGCTGGAGTGTATGCATGCACGGATGCATCTCTCTCGGCTCCTGGAAAACGGTCCTTGGTCGGCAGAATAGACTGGTCGGGTCGACTTAACTGATTCTGTTTTTCTTGCCTTCACAGACAGCATCATTTCAGCAGCCGTCCTGTATGCTGTCCTCTAGTCCAGTCTTTATGGATCTTGATTGTTGTCCCTATTGAGAGAAGAACGTGGTGAATGTCCTCACTGAACCCCCCACCATTAACCTGGTTTGTGAAGATCACCCGATTGCCCTGGGAATTCTAATGCCCAATTGAGTAAGACAATAGCAGCCGGCGCCCATTTCCGCCACCTGGTGGATCCCAACTTCAGCTGGGAAGAACATCTGCCTAGTAAACCGCTGCTTATGGTAGGCTGTTCGGCCCTCCCATGGCGGGTTTTTAAGAGGAAATCTGGTTTAGTTGCACTCTTAAAATACCCAAACAGGGCATTTTCTCTGTCTTTGCCGGAATGGGCGGCTTATTAACCAGCAATTGTATCAAGTCACGGGACAAAAGGGAGAGAAATAACTATAATTTAAAGACATGAAAAAGCACGAGACAACCAATACTGTATCATCACAACTTCATCTTCCACTAAAAAGAGTAAATTCCCCGCGCGCTCAAGTTTGCGCGCAACGCGTTATACAGACCGCTGCCCGCGGCAAAAGCACAATAGAACCCACATCTGCTTGCCTATGACTCACATTAGCAGCGCGTTGAAGTTGGCCGTGTACATAGTAGATAGAAAGAATGCCTTCCATAGCACCACATACTCCATAACAACAACTATCTACAGAGGGTCTTTCCGGATCAAGTGTAGAGGAACCAGATAATCTACCCGAAATCCCACGCGTTATCGACCAAAGGTTCAGGAGGGTCCACAAAGCCGCTGGCCACCAGTACGCTGTCGCACCGACTCGGTTCCAAAGATCGTGACCCAACGGATACTCCCTGCCTGCTGCGTATTGTTGTGCGGCACACTGCATTACTTCTTATCGCACTTTTGTTTCTTGCAACATCGGAGAGGACAAACATCACGATTAACTTGTGATAGGAGGAACTTCTCTCCTCAGAGTAAGCCCTGATCAAAACATGGATGCAGCACGGAATGGGGAAAGGGCAACGTGAAACGAACCCGGCCTGGTCGTTCCAATCCACAACAGTATTCGGATCCCCTAATCCCCTTCGGGTAGCAGAGGGGGAAAGACCTCAGACTCAGCTGATGAATCATGGAGGGGTTGAGGGCATCGTGGGGCGAGCTAAATGTCCTTGGAAGTTGGTACAAGGTCTCTTCTGGCCTCAGATTCGCTGACACCCTCAGAGTCCGGCTCATACGCCGCAGCTGAGATCCCTGCTACGATCTACCATTGGACTGAGCTTCGTCGACGGTCATCTCCAGACTTTCTCGAATGGGAAGTCAGTCGGACGGGAGGCCTCCTCGTAAGAAATGATACTCCGTTATTACACGCAGCACAAAGGTAGCGAAAGGGGGATTTCTCCCGTCGAACCTACCCCCGATCTGCATGCATGCGCTTCTCGCGTTGCCCTGAACCACCCTAAAGTGTAGAACTTGTCGCTAGTCTGCACGCCCACCCGCTGCTTCATGGTTGGCTGATTGAAAGCCCTGGCTTGTGCTCGTGTCATCCAGGAGACACCGGAATCTGGAGATATTACCATGACCAGGCACAAACTCCGAGCACATGGATCGGTGGCAAGCCAGTGCACAAGCCTGGTATTTAGGGGTAGTGGGCGCCCGGCGACACCGGGACTGGCTGAAATGAAGGCGTGAAAAAAAATTCATCCAAAGATGTGGTCATGTCATCCCCTAGCCGACCTTGCACGACCCTCCTCGGACGGCATCAACCCAACCAAGGCCGGAGCATCAACCAAAAAGCGGCAGTGCCTGGGGTCAATGGGTGAGGCAAGACGATGCTAAACTTCGGTCTCAGCACGCGCCCAGCAGCGGACTCGATCAAAGCGGAGTACACTCACCAGGCATGGGAGGAGATTGGGTGGATGGAGGCACGAGAGAAACGATGGCAGAGCGCATCGCTGTGTCGGCTGGAGTCGGATCCGGGCACCAGATGGCAAGGTAGTCAGTCTGGCGCAAGAATGCGGCATAAGCAACCAGCGTCGTCAGCTGTGCACTAGAGGCCATGCGACCCATCAGATTGGATGCGGAATGCTGGAACGACCGTTATGGCCCGCACTATGACATATCGTGGGACCCTAGCCTATACCTACTTAGCAAGGCTGGTGTCGAGGAAAATGGAGGAAAAGAGGCATGGATCGCCTCATGGGGCAAATAGACAGACGGCAAAAGTGTATAAAAAAAGAAATGAAGCAGCAGAGAGTAGGCAAGCAAGGATATGCAGGATGCAGGCAGGCAACAGGAAAAGCCCCGTTGGTGGACAACTGACTTGACGGCGGTGTCGGTGATGGCCGATTGCTGCTGCGCCTCACCCGTCGCTGCTGTCATTTGAGCCACATCACTGTGGCGAAGTTTCTGCAGAAAAATCATGACATAATGGGCGGAGAATTAATTGGAACTAGGGACACAGCTGGAACAATGTAGAGTCGAACTAGAAGAATATTGTTTGACTAGTTGATGGTCTACAGTAGTCGATTGTGAGGAATCTCCCCGCTACTATCAGATACATCATGCTTAGCCTCGGGTCATATGGGCGATGAGATAAGCGGGACGAGTAACTAGTTAAGTTAACCAACCAACTAACTAACTAAACTCACCAAACTTACTCTCCTGCGCGGTCTGCTACTAACCACGACCTGCATCTGCATCCATCGAAAAACTGTATACGAAGTACGATGCCTGCTAACCCTGAAATATCTCCCGGAACGCAAAGGCTCTCTCTCCTTCACATGACCATGGATTAGCGCTGCGCCCCATTGTCTGCCTTGATGACCTTCCCCCATCACACTCATCACACGCCTGGATGCAACGGGCGGCTTCGATTATCGGAGGTTTCATGCAAGATTCCGGACTCAACCCGGACCTCCACGATGGGGACACGGCATGGCAGCCTTGAAGAAACTATTGCAACCGCGCGCGCATTGAAGCCGCTCGCAAGCAGGTCTGGGATAGCCTAATGGTACCGCTAGTGAGATGCAACCTGCATCAATACCATGCATTACCTTACACGCCCGCCTAAGCGCTGAGTCCTCGCCCATCTTAACCAGAGTCAGACTTTAGCTCCCCCGACCCGGACTGCAACTGGCCAATACGGGCTGCCTTGCTGAGGCTAATCCCTGTTCTGTGTTTCAGACGACCCCATCCCCGTGCTGGCGACCAGGGGGGTACACTGGGTCAGCCATGGCAGAGGGGGGCACCGTACTACTGTAGGGATGCATACTACCAGGAGATATCTTGGGCTTTTAACCTCATTCTTCCTCCTCTAATCTCGAGCGTAATGGTGGTGTCGACCCACTTGGTTCTGCTGACAGTGCATACCAGTTTGGTCACCTGTTCTACTAGCCATCTTGGGAAGGGGATGGACTGGCCTGGACTGTTTGAGGAGAGTCGAAATGAGATCATCTCGTTCGGATTCATCCTCCAAGGGAGCTGGGGTCATCTATTCTCCTATCTAAGGAGACACCGAGCACAAACATCCTGGAGATAGGTATGCGTACTTTGTTCGCTGATCCAGGGGTCAAAGCTACAAGGAATAATGGTCTGGACTCATCACTCGCGTACTTCTGGGGAGGTCTATTTATGCTGGAGACCGAAGTAGGAAGTCCCTATTTAGGGAGCTGAGCTACTGATCGACTTTATAGTTCGGTTGTGAGACAACAGTCATTTACTACTGACGTAAATGTTTACAAACTTCCCTCTTCGATACTGCCAATCCTCGTTCCAGCTGAGGATTATACCCCTCGCTCGTCTCCACCACCTCTTGGCCAGCCAGACCCATCACATCGGTTCATGTCGCCCTCTAACCGTGGTCTGTCGAAGCCGGGGCACATTAGTTGATGTCAGCACTTAATTGCGACACTATTAATATGGCATGGCATGTGGACTGAGACAACCACAGCCAGCCAACTATATTATATAGATACCAAGACCATTTGAGCACAGAGTGCTTTTGGCTCAAGAATGAGCCGAACAATATGCACAATATGTCACACCGTCACTCACCTCTGCTATGTACCAAGAGGAGATCCATTTCAGCTGGCCATTTCGCATCTGCTTTGAGCGAAGAGAACTTGGACAGCTGACTTCGATGTAACACCGCACATGCTTCATGGCTTTCTTTCAACCGCCGTAACTGCTGAAACCGATATGCAAACGTCCTTGTGAGATCTGCCTTTGATGCCTGATATGTCACAAGAGTGGCTTGAGGCTTGTGCAACATGAGGTGAAGTCGACCAGGTTACTACCATCATAATGACACTGCATGAGATTCTGAATGAGGACCATCAAATGTTTGACCCCTCTGGTTCACGACAGGTACGCTAATCACCTGACCTGCCTACTTGTGTTTAATTTGTACGATGTCAGATCTGTTGCCTATATGCGCAACATGCTAGTGATTTTAATTGACATCTATCGCAATGTCTTTCACTTGTTAATATACCTTGTAAGTATTCACTATGACTGGCAGAGCAAGCGAACATGGTGCAGAGGGATTGCAACACATTATTAATCTGCACAAACAAAATGATACTGAGAAACTACATAGTCACACTGGATTTACTTGTTATAATCATTTCTACGTAAGTTACACTGTAGTTGGACACCCATCTTAGCGATTATAGACTGATGGCGTCAGGTAGGTAAACCACCACTATTCTTACCTTCAGTCTCTTGATCCTAAACAAAGTATTCTATTGTAAGTAGTAATATACCTTCTTTTCCCAGCTAGACCACCCAGTATCAGGATTGAACTTAACCAGTTTATGAATCTTTGGTATAGTCCAAAAGCAGAAGGTAGAGAGCCTGCAGAACAACTGTGGAAACCATAGCATTCCATGCGAGAGTTGTATAGACAACGTCACGAATACGGTGTTACACAGACACACGAAGCTTTATTTAGAAAGAAAGTTTACTTAGCTTCGACAGAGGCTGCTGAGACAAAGTACTGTTTTGCTTCTTGCCGGCTGACCTGTAGAACACAGTTCTCACAAAACTCACGATTAGGCTCGCGCGAAGTTCTCAGAATCCAGAATTTATATTCGGAAGATATATTGGCCAGAGATATGAAGAAAAATAACAATAACCAGTTATAAGAGCCGATAATGTGGAAATAACAGCTTGAGTCTGAGAGTAGGGAAATTATATGAAAGGAGATATGATTACATTCATAACTTCTAGTATTCAATCCCATTGTGACCACCAAAGTCCCCCAACAAACCTCCAACTTAGACATACCGGTCCAAGTCACTATTAAAAATACCTCATATTGCTCCCAAGCTCTGAGAAGAGTGAGCACTTAAAACAAATGCCAAGGCCATTCCTTATCCCAGACACACGCTTTCAATCTATACCCTTTGCCTAAGCATCAACACCAAGCATAATAGTGAAAAATGAAATAGGAAAGAAACTAAAGCACCTCCAATCCTCTCGGAAATAATCTCCCCCAAGCAGTCAAGATAAAGATAAAAGTGGAATCTCCATTCCGTCAAGAGTCCTAGGGATCCGCAACGATATGTTTCGTGTCTAATAAAAATTAACCCGTTTTCAAGAAACTCTTTTGGCATAGTTCCCTTCTGGTGTCGCATCAGACATGCTATGAAATCTTAATATTGGGGTTCCCTCTTTCTCATTCTCTATTATAGGTCTGTCATTCTGAGGGTTAGGTGTGACTAGCCAGGCTATCATTATGTTTCAAGGTCGGGGATAGGACGGGATTGACTGGCCAGATGGGTATATTTGGAATGTATAGGGGTCGTTTCGTGATTTGTGTAGCGGGCTCACGTTGATTGTTCTCTTGGACAGTTCGTGGTAGGTGTAAGGGAATGGTACTAGGCTTGAATATATTCAGTTGCGTGGGAAGGGAGCAATAATTGGGCTAGTTAACGACTAGAAGATTCATGATCACATTCTATTTCCCATAAAGTTAGAGTTATAACTGAATTTGTGCTCGCTCTTCAAGCTCTTCGAGCTGTATCTTGTTTATCTGTTTGAAGTCATGGCTTGTCTTACAGCTCACTCCTGGATATGTTCCTTTAAGGTCATGAATTATATTCTTTAAGCTTATCCCAGTAGTATTAGTTGACTAGGTCTAGTAGTAATGACAGCTATCATATTTCGAATTTTCGTTTCTAATCGATGAAACCTGATATTTATCGCACTCTACGTTTATCTCTCAGCTACAGAGAATCGAATTTGTAATGTCAACAATATCGAATGACAGAGCAAATCACCAGAGTGATTCAAGACACTTGTAGATAGTAATATAAAACAGCAATCCGCATATCACTTGGTTCAAATCCCCCATGACCAACCACATAGAGTAACTATATATGGCTTACCAACTTCACGCATACTTCTGAACAAGACCTTGCAGGCCACCGGGGTGAGCTCCCGCCATATCGTCCAGCTTTTGGCCATCTTTGAATACTATAAAGGTCGGCATGGCTCTAATTCCACATTCTTGAGAAATATCCTCCTGTGTATCGACGTCGACCTTGGCGAACTTGATGGCGCTGAACTCGGGCCGGGAGGCCAGCTGTTCAAAGAAAGGACTAATCATTTTGCAAGGACCACACCATGTAGCCCAGAAGTCGATGATCACCACATCTCCCGAGTTGATGAGGGTGAGGAAGTCAGAGATACTAGTAGAGAAGAACAGGAGGAGATTGGTCAGTTACCCACTTTTGTTTTTCTTTTGGAAATGAGATTAGGAGATGGTTGTAAAGTTTCTAGAGGTCATACCTTTCGATAGCAGTGACAGCCATGATGCAGAAAGTTATTGATAAGGATTTGATTCCGAGGGAAGGATAGCGTGAAGGAGTGGTGCTAGTTAGTTGATTTCCTAGTAGTCACGGTCTTAATAGGGGACGAGTTAGTAGGTCGTGACGGGAGGGAGATCGATGGTTTTTATAGTATCAACATGCTGAACTCGTCACTGATCTCATATTCATCGAATCAAGTCATGTTTTACCCCACTTCGCTCAGGCCCTCCGATTTATCGGACATGGACGGACTGGAGCGGCGGGATTGTTGTGAACTGTACGGCTGAGTAGCTGAACAGCTGAAGCCATTGTGGTCGAATCATCGTGCTGGAAAATTGTCCGCTAATGGATCGTCAGCCTCAACACCCCACTTATTCGACGGGATGGATCTGCCCCTCCCTCAGTCGTGCAGATAACAAAATGATGTTGAGAGGGACTCTTTCTGAGCTGAGCTTACGTAGTGTACATGGATGGCTGAGGTATTTTCAAAGGATGTTTGAGCGGAACAATACTAGTTGTGCTATTGAGAGACCTATAACATGACTAATAGCCTTAGGAGTTCATATAGAAACAGGCTGTAGGTAGCCTAAGTGCAACTAGAATTTTGATCCGCTATATAGAAGTGAATACAGTTCACATATTAGATACTCAAGATCCCTTCTGACAAAGTCTTGAACGGCCACTGGACCCGAGGTTACTGACCAGCCCTCTAAGAGATGCTCGGACAAGCATTTAGGAAAGCTTCTCTAGTTCTCACTTGTGAATATACCATAAATACTTGCAAATATTTAGGTGTGTTAAATTTGTCTGCAAAGGCAGAGAGGCAACAAGGTTCCTTGTCACTCAGGTCCTAATGTGCCTCAGCTATGATAGACCGGCAACTCAAGACATACATCCTTCTCTCGACCACCTGCATGATAACAAGTGCTTCTATCAGAGCTATAGAAAAGAAAGAAAGAAAAAAACTTCGACAAAGAAAGAGAGAGTGACAGAGCGAAATGTCTATGGAAACGAGATACATTTCTTAAGTCCTCCTCGATGCGAAACATTCCACGCAAATGGGACATTCGCCAATCAGACTGGAGAGAAACTCAGCTGAGTGATGGCCAGTCTATGATAACTTCACATATATCAACTTTACCATACTACATGCTACCAGATCTTACTCTCCCATTTCCAACATATAAGTCCGCTCTAACAAGAAAACGCTAGAGACATCGAACACGAACAGTACATATAACATAAGTTAGAGAAAATGCACGGGAATTATCGGTGCATTATAGGTGTAAGACGAGGTAGTGTAAATCATATAGTTGAGCTTCCTCCTCTTCCGTGTGACAGAGCATCTCTTCCGGGAAATTACCAGCAAGTAGTCCCACAGGCAACCCGCTACGTCGCTAATACATGTTGCAGATAGGCTCTGCTCGGCAGTACAGTCAGGTCGGAATCGGCCCTGACTCTAGATGTCTCTACCCAGGCTAGGAATACGTAGGCCTCAGAGCCACGATGAAGACGCTGAGTAGAAGACCCAATCATGCCCCGGTTGAGACAGCGAGGAAGACCAAGCATATAAGAAGGAACTACAAGTAGAAAATATGCAGTGGACAGAGATAACATGGTGACTTGCAGGTAGATGGTCAGCCATTTGCAACACTCATTAATAGTAATTCTTTGTTTGCTGTTTAGTTGAGTTTAGCTGCGGCGACGACCTTCCTACGCCGCCGCATGCGTTGTTACGTGGCTCTGCAAGCTTGAGGGATCCGATGGATTCAGAGCCATATTCTTGCTTCAGATGGTGAAACGCCTGCATAGACAGCATCTTACATAGCAGGCTCGATCAAGTACAAGAAGAAAAATTGAGTTGAACTTAATAGCAGGTATTTTGGAACGGCATCAAGGCCCAAACTCAGGTATCTGATCCCTGAACATATTTCCGAGGAAAATGGGCCATATCAATATCAAGAAGACCAGTTAGGAAAGATGGCAAGTAGTCTCTGTCTGCCCTAGCATCGTTTCGATGGATAAATCACGCAGTGTGTTTGAGTGCTGAGTTAGTGCGTCTAGCCCCGAAAAGTCTGCCATAGCTAGCATTGTTCTAGCCTGAGATGGTATATAGGTAGGTTCTTAACGGGAAATAGGGCTATGAGTGAAACACCGGGTCATAAGTATCCCATTTGGATATGCATGGACGGATGAGCCTCAGTGATGGGATAGACGAAACAGGTAGAATCCGCTGCATATTCCGCTTAGGGTTGTTGGTCTAGGTATCTAGAAAAGACTGACAACGCGTCTAGAATCGAGTAGAGCTAGATCGGAGAATGAAAAAGCAATGAGATGACCCTGAATTTTGCATTGTCAGCTTGAAACAGCCTCAAAGATATACCAACCCCTATCTAATAACCAACAGTGCAGCAGAGCAGAAAGAAAAAATTTTTGGAAGTAGAGGAGTAGGAATTAGGGAGAAAAAACTAAATACAGATCATTCAACCGACTTTACTCCATATTTGGGCCATCCACTGAAGCAGGCTACCGTTACAAAATAGAGCGGAAGTAGATCCGGTCTGATTTTTGGTCCCGACCCAACCCAGCACCCACCACACACTGCACACCATCCTGCAGATAATGAACCAAAATAACCAGAATAGCATTGAAATAACTTCTCGTACCTGGATGATTCCATGGAATATAGGAAGTTTCTATAATTATCATCTTGGTAGAAAACTTATCTGGTTATATACGACAGAATCGGAAGTAAGTCAGCACGTTTTGGATGCGGCAAGATCGGCCTCTCCTTGCTGATCGAGAAAGTAGGGCCCGAGCCGTCAAATGACCTTTCCCCTTGCCAGAATCAATTCCTGCTTTTGCCTCTGAGGACGTGGTAGTCTGGAAGTAAGGTCTGCGGTGTGTCATGTAGCACAATGTTTTAGTCTGCAATATGCGATCTCCTAGAGATAGGGTAGTCCCCCCTGGTTGTCTCATCTTCTTGACATCCCAAGGTCGGTGATGGCTAGTGCGGTCGTCGCTGCGGATCACAATCTTCCGGAGCCGTTAAAAACGAATTGGCTTAGATTTTCTAAAGGTTGAAATCCTAGGATGAGACATCGCTCTATATTTGAAGGATGAGGTGAGATGTTCGGGTGGTGAGGGAATACCTCGGAGTTACGAAAAGTTAATGCGGGTGTGGAGGCCACTATCTGCAGAAGATAACCCGCACACTGCATCGTGGAAAATTATCATGCAGGTCCAGTAATGTAACATTCTGTTGCTTTCTTCATTTGGTGTGATGCTATGACGTCGAGAATAATGACTCGCGACCGAGGGGGATCTTGTATCTGGCGATATGGAAATGAGGGGGATTACCATCCTCAGTAAAGGATAGCATACTCGAGTATCAACGGTAATGGGTGTGCCCTGACCCATTCCTTCCCCAGCTTGACCAAGAAATCCTTCGTGTGCTTGTCGAGGAACCATGGCGCCAACCCCGCTTGATGGTCGCCGTCGATCATCAAGCTAATTTAGACCGAGTCCGAGGGGGAAACCTAAATCGCCCAACTGCCCGCACGCCAACTCCAGTAGCCAGGGCCATTGCTGCTTCACATGTTACCGAGCATCTCTCTTGCCGAACCTCGCAGCACGGCAACTGCTCCTTGCGCTGTTTCGCGGACGCCGAGTGCAACCTCGCTGCGGGTGGATTGGGCACTTCTGTTGGCCATTGCACTGAGTGCATTTCAGCGATTAATCGTGCAAGTAGACCGTAGCGTCCATCACTGGAGACGCAGGCTCTACCGGTAAACTCCATTACTGTTTCCACCCGTCCCCGCAAAGTCAAGTCGGAGAACATTTGCCATAGATGGCTTAGGTGATAGTCGCCCACAGCTTGATAACCAACGTGAACGGCGAACACTGCCACTGGGTAACAGTCGAGAAAGTGGACCGTCCCAGGTCACACCCCTTAGCCAGGAACTAGGACTCCTGATTCCCAAGGCACATCCAATCGCTGTTGTGGTGTCAACACCCACCACGGAGTCAATTGCGACATGGCATCATAGCCGCAAGGGCAAATTTTGTCAGATGCTCGCTTGACTCAAAATGATGGGCCTTGGTGTCGATCACCGAGGTACCCAGGAAGCTAGAGCAGAAAAATAAGCCCATATCGGGAGCCAAACCATGATCCTAAGTGCACCTCGTAATTTCCCTTCCCAGCCATTCGTTCCCCCGCAAGGCTAAGAGCCCCTAACGCACCTTAAGGTGCACGGTTCACTCCGACAAGCATGGGTTGCTCCAGATCAAACCGCCTACTCGGTTGGAGCAGAGGAACATTCCCCTGCGGTGGGTAGCCGATTCGGGTACTCATCTGGTGGTCCAATTACGGACGATCGTCACGTTGTCTTTGACCAGGGACCGAAAAGGAATTATCCCCGTTAGGTTAGGAAGAGGCCAATCCGCCTGGTCTCGGTAGTATGGCTATTATGAGACGCCCCAGCACGTCCCAGTCATTTCACATGTGGGGTTAAGGACAGCCCTCGGCCTTGTCTCGATATTTGGATCGATGTGGAGAGAGCGGGTGGCTGCCGTGTATCTGCAGGCATAAAAGGAGCCCTGCCATCTGCATTGATCTGGACCCTGACCCGTCCGTTGTCAATTGCTGGCATTCCCTGGTGGAGAGCACCCTCAACATGCGCGTCTCTTCGGCCCTTCTTTCCGCCCTTTTGCTTTCCAGCACTTCGCTGGCAACTCCGGCCCAGGTTTCCTCATCCGTGGCCATCTCTACACAGGGGAGCCCGGCGCCAGAGGAACATGTTGCAGCACAAACAACTGCAGCAGCAGAGGCAACTGCGGCGGCGGCAGCCTCGGCGGCAGCAACTGGTGCATCTGAGCAGACGGCCAGTACCAAGCAGCAGCCAGACAGCGATGTTGGTGCCGACCAGCAAACCGCGAATGCTGCCACTCAGCAGTCATACGCAGACACAAACACAAACACAAATACCGGTAACCAGCAGCCATCTGCCGATGTAGCTGGCCAGCAAACCACCCCCAGTGCCGTACAGCAAACAGCCGCAGCTCCGGATTCGTCAAGCCAAACAACCGCTACCCAGTCACAGGGTGGAGATCTTCTTGGTGGACTGGTGGGTGGAATCCTAGGTGGTGGCTCCAGCCAAAATGCTGGAGCAAGCAGCAGTGCTGCCGCATCCCCCTCAGCAGCAGGTCTTGGTCAGTCTGCCACCTCCACGCAGGATGCCGCGTCTTCCGCAACGACGAGTTCTTCCTCATCCGCAGGCGGCTCTTCCGGAAATCTCTTGACAGACATTGGTGATGGCCTCGATGGCCTCCTAGGTCTTTTGTCGCCAACATTCTTGAAGAATGTCGAGTCGTTCTTCAACCACTTTGCATATCTCTTCGACGATAAGACTACCGACCAGACGAAGTCCCTGATCGACACTGCTTACAACCTACTCACCAAGCAGTTGATCACTGAATTGACCGGTCTCCTCAACAACGCAAACAGCCTATTGACGCCGAACTTTGTGAACGAGACCCAGCAACTGATCAACTCGGTTGGCCCGCTTGTCACGCCACAGTTGTTCAAGAAGGTCTCTACCCTGCTCGATAATGGCAACAACCTTTTGACTGCTGAATTTGTCAAGGAGGTTAACGGCCTTATTGGCAATGCAAACAACTTGTTGACAGCCGACTTCGTGAAGGAGACGCGTGAGCTTATCGAAGCTGTCTCTCCTGTACTGACACCAGAGCTACTTGGTGAAGTCGGCACACTGCTTAACAACGCCAATGATCTCCTGACTGCAGACTTCGTTAAGGAAACGAAGTCGCTCATCAGCGCGGTCGGCCCGATCCTGACTCCAGAACTGCTGAAGGAGGTTAACACGCTATTGACTAATGCCAACAGCTTGTTGACCGCAAACTTCGTTAAGGAGACAACGTCTTTGATTGACACGGTCGCGCCTAATTTGACACCAGAGCTGTTCAAGGAGATCAACTCGGTCCTCAGCAATGCCAATGGCCTCTTGACACCGGGCTTTGTCAATGAGACTCAATCTTTGATCGAAACTGTTGCTCCTAACTTGACCCCCGAATTATTCAAGGAGATCAACTCGGTCCTGGGCAACGCTAATAGCTTGTTGACCACCGACTTCGTAAAGGAAACCAAGAGCTTGATCGGCGCCGTTGCCCCTGTACTTACACCAGCTGTTCTCGCAGAGGTTGCTGGCTTGTTGGGCAATGCCAATGACCTGCTCACACCGACATTCGTTAACGAGACTCAGGGCTTGATTGGCGCCGTGGCTCCAGTCTTGACCCCTGCTCTTCTGAAGGAAGTTGGCAGTCTCTTGGGCAACGCCAACTCTCTGTTGACCACCGGATTCGTTGATGAGACCCAGACATTGGTTGGTAATGCGAATGACCTACTGACGACCGATTTCGTCAAGGAGACCCGGAGCTTGATCGGTGATCTTTCACCGGTCATCACACCTCAACTGCTATCAGAGGTCTCAGGTTTGCTCGACAATGCGAACTCCCTATTGACAGCGAAGTTTGTCAATGAGACGCAAGGATTGATCGACGATCTCTCGCCAGTCATTACACCTGAGTTGCTCGGCGAGGTCGGCGGACTTCTCGGCAACGCAAACAAGCTTTTGACCACCAAGTTCGTTGAAGAGACCCAGAACCTGATTGATAGTGTAGCACCTGCAATCACTCCTGCTCTCCTCACGAAGGTGAACTACTTGCTGGGCAACGCAACGAATCTGTTGACACCTAATTTCGTCAATGAGACAAGCAACCTCATCGACGAAGTCTCGCCGATCCTGAGTGAAGTTGCGCCAATCCTTACACCCGAAATGCTTGGCGAAATCGGCGGCCTCCTTGGAAATGCCAACGACTTGTTGACTTCGAAGTTTGTCAACGAAACGCAAGTACTCGTTGAGGACGCTTCTGAGGTAAGTTTGTTCTAAAATAAACAACTGCACAGTGAGGCACAGACTAACTTTTCCTAGTTGCTTCCCGCTCTGGTTAAGGTCTTAGGATCGCTGTGAATGTAATGAGGCGTGATATTTGAAGGATATACGATCTGATGGACAACGAGTCTACTTAATCCTATGAGTAATTATGTGTTTGATGTTGATGCATTCAATGTTCATGACGTTCTGCGCTGCCGGTTCAACGTCAAGTACAGACGACGTCTTAATATTAGCAATAGCACATCCATAGTCAAAAGACCTCAAAAAAAGCCATGCCAGGTGGTGAAATTGGCTTTGCCGTATCGCAAAATCACCTCATCATGGTGTTCATGGATGAACGCTTCCTGAATATCTCTGAGCCCTGTAGAGAGCAACTGGCCCAATTTGCCAGTAAATTTGCCGAGCCGAATAAAATAATTCCATCGAAGTAGGACCGGATACAAGTCTGTCACCCAGAGATTCTGGATGAAGCAACCCTAAGAGGGTGCCGAAGACACAGTACGGCTTATTAGACTCATCACTGGGGACCGGTTTTCGTAAAGCGAGGCCGGAAGAGAAGGAGTTCAACCTGCTCGAGCGCCATCTGCTAATTGTTTGAGCATCAAGGTCACACAACGTGTCAACTCTCATTGTGTTTTCCCCTGTGAGGGATTGGTGGTGCCCTTTTGTTTGATGGCGTTGTTTGAAAATGTCCGTATTGTTTGTATAGATTTCTCCGGTTGAGCACAGGCTTTAGGACGGGATGTTCGAAGTCTTGACTTCCTGGTACTTGGACAAGACTTTCATCTCTGTGTTGCGTTCCTTGATCTTCTTGTCCATAGCTTTCTGGACTTCTTCGCGCTTCTTCTCGGCGTCTTCCAACTTTTGTTTCACTTCCCTTGCAGCTTGTTCTTGCGCCTTCAGGGCCGCTTCTGGTGTCGGGAATTCCTGGCGTAGTTGTTCAAGCTGGGAGCGTATTTCTTCTTCGTCGATGGGAGTGCAAGTAACTGGATGGTACTTGTGCGGCGGTAATGGTTCGCCCGGAATACGGATCTCAGGCAACAATTCATGAATCGCAGTGGTGCGGACAGGGGAGTCCTGCGGGACCGCCTTGGCTGTGGGTGAAGGCGTCGGCTCGGAAGGCGGAGAGAGAGGGAGTTGCTGATCCATGTTGATGTAGGTTATTGAAAGCTAGCGTTCACTAGACAACCATGTACAACTGTCGGCTTCGATAGGGTAGTTTGAGCCAGAAAATCGCGACGTCCTGCTGGTTGTTGAACCTTGAGGCGATGGGAGTTCTTGGAAGTCCCTGGGATTTTGTCGGTTGCCATTACTGCCATCTGCCAGTTCACCGCCATTAATAGTCACATGATCCGAAACGGTGCCCCGCAGCGCCATTTGTATTCCAATGAGCTTCCTTTATGGTTCGCAGCGATCATTGACTTGTCCTTACAGTTACTACTCGGAGGGCTATCTATACTGTCTATAAATATTCCAGAGCGCCCATCTTTTCAAGTCCTCAAACGTTAGCGCGTACGTGATCCTGATTAGATATGTCCAGGCGGTCAGTTCCTGCCGTCAGGGGGAAGCTCGCCGCCTTTGCTCCGGATGTGGGGGTTCGGAGAGGGCCTCGACCGGCAGCGCCTCTCAGGACATCGTGAAGCTACCCGGACACTCGAATAGATGAAAGACTAGTGATTCAGAGCCGTTTACTTCGCTTCGGGCTTGCCAAACATGCAGGCCTTCGGTATGTTACCCATTCTATATCTCATCAAACAAATCGGGTCACCAGAATAGATGACATGTCTTTTGGCAATTGCGCTAATGATGCAACTCTAGTCCCCAAGAACCGGAGAGTAAGTCGATCATGCTCGATCCATAGAAGTATTAAAGATGCCAATGCCAGATGCAGCCCCGGTTTGAGTTAATACTCAGAGTAAGAGTCCGTGGATCACATCCCAAATGGCCTCCCAGCTAACTGCTATGATTATTGTAGATTATCGACCTCAATAATGTTCCACTCGTGAGCGGTACCGCTTTCGTCAAATGGCGCCTACCGTCATCTAGTGCGCCTGAACACCATGGACATACAGATAAGGCGATCATCATAGACCATCGGGCATATTGGAATTACGAGAAGGTCCTGCAGGTCAGGCTCACCATCGACCGCAACCAGACTTTACACGAATGCGAGTTGTATTTCGAAATTATTCAAGAGTTTGCGTCAGGAGGGAACAACGAGAAGAATCTGCTAGGAAGGATCAGACTCAACCTTTCCGAATATGTGGATAAGAGTGACGATGACGAGGGCATCGTCCGGAGATACTTGATGCAGGATAGCAAGATCAACAGCACACTAAAAGTTGGTATAGCCACACGCCAAGTTGAAGGGGATCGGAACTACATTACGTATGTCATATATTATGCCGGAAGACGCTTTACTCCCTTCGAGGAGCATATTGCTGATGACATTCAGGCCGCCTCTCAAATCAGCCATGGTCTTTGGCGGAATCGCTGGGGTTGTATCCTCTGAACAAGGCGAACATGACGACCTGGGTCGGCTTCCCTCGATCAACACCCAGAGTCGCGAAGTGACAGATATGCAAGACATGTACCGCCGCACGCTGGCTGCGTCTTGGAATTCTCGGGCGGACGATCTACCGGCCGACAAGCTGATCGAAGAACTGTTCTCCGGCGGCATTAGCTGGGCAGACGGCCATGATGCCCGTGCCGAGAAATCTATCGAGAGTCAGGCAGATCGACTGTCACCACATGGGCGCACAAGCGTCAGGCAAGCTTCATCAGACAATCGATTGTCTCCTTCCAATTTTGAGAGGCGACCAAGGAGTTCTTCAAGCAACCATTATCGCAATGATGTGAAAGGCACAGACTTTGCCCCAGCTGTTGATCATACCCGGAAAGGCGGGAGCATAGAGCAGCAACTGTATGACAACCCCAAAGGCAAGGCTTGGAAAAACCGTACTTCGGAGTTTGAACTGTCGGAGTTCGATGTGCGCGAGGATTTGCGGAGTTGGGAGGTCATGAACAAGGAGTGATTCAGTATGGTTCTTCGTGGCGTTAAGCAGTCTCTTGTATAATACCCCTATGACTTTTACTCATGCCTCTGTTCTTCAAAATGTCTGCTTTCTCACTTGTGGCACCAAAATGTCGGGGTAGATAACTGCCCCATGTAAGCGTAGTCTCCGATAACCATATCGATTATCGAGGAACTGCTTGGGTGGATCCACAAGACGGACTAGTCCGCTTCAAGACTAGCGGGTATTTCAGATTGCATCAATCCGAGCTTCAACTTTCAGTCCCGGGCTTTTCTTGGACTCCGGTCTGGTGTGTTCGTTTCGTGGTCCATATGCTGTCTCGATCTTCCAACAGTGCAGCAAGTCTTTTAGGCTGCCGGCTGCTCCCAGAATGCAGAGCAAGCTTTCTCCCTCCCTCCTTGCGCCGGCATAATGTATCTATCCGGTTCGAGTCCACCGAAACTGATGCCAATGACGACGAGACGCCGCCGCAACATGTATCTTCGCGCCGTACCCCCGGCCACAACCGTCTTCAGCACCGGCTCAAACGGAGACTGGGTAAAAAAGTACCGATTTCTGTTACCTCGCTTGGAAATCCTGGTGAAGTAGTAGTTGTCAAAGATCGGCAACGTCGTCGACTACGCATAGCCAAGGACGAACCGAAGGAAGTCACCGACAAAAATGCGCTTCCCCTCTTTCTGAGAGAAATAGAGAATGACGATACTTTTGTTGATAGCGAACTACTCAAAACTCGTGTTGAAAGTTTCCGTCTCGACTACGAACCCCACCACAAGTTGCCCGTTGCCGATTGGAAGGAGCTCCGAAACAAAATGCAGTCGTCATTTACCTATCGGCAGTTATTGGACTATATAATAGAATCGAAGGAGAACGATTTGGATAATGACGGAACACCAGAGACAACACCCACGCGCTGGACACCTGGAGTCTCCGAGTTTCTTGAAACCAGTTATCTTTCCCGAAAAGGTGTCGCCGATAGAGTTGCGGCGTCGCAAGGCCTCAAGGGGAAGTATCTACTGGCTGAAAGGATACTCCGTGACTGCTGGCATCTTGGAGTCCTTGATGAGGTTGGTCAGCTAGATATACAGCTGCCGACGCATATACTGTCTCTGCTCCTCAGTTCGCAGCACTTTTCTTTCGAAGAATTAGCCAACTTGCACGACGCAAAGATCGATGTCACGCATTCGCTTGGTCTCGTGAGGATTACGGGGATGCAGCGTATCTGTGAATCAATTAGTGAGATTGTACACGATGCCACTGCTAGAGTCCGACAGGAAAGCGTTGAATTGCCACCCGACGAAACGAAAACGAAAGTCAACAACCGCATCTTTACTCCAGAATTTCTCTCGTGGATGACCAAAACCTATAGAGTAGCATTTGAACAAAATACGCCACATACGCCAAGCCAAATCTACTATCTTGCCGAAGACAAACAGGATGCAGATAATGCCCGTAGGGCCCTGCACCTTGCCTATTACAGTGGGACTGCTCCTGCTGTACCTTTCAGCACATACCTACCCTCAACCGAGCCAGCCAGCGTCCATGACATTGATCCCGAGAGCAACACGTCATGGTTCGAGAGGCAAAAGGCATGGTTCCGATGGGCCACGCCAGCAACTCAGTCTGACGAGGTAAAGCCCTCAGACACAGAATTGTTCGATAACCATCAAACACGGGTATCCGACGAGCTTTTCAAGCTACTTCGACAGAAATCATCCGTCACTCATCAGGCACATCCTGAAACCGGCGCCGACTACCATGAATCCATCACAGCAGCAGTCGGCAAATGTCTCTTCCTGCGCAAGCCATTCTTCGAAGAGAGCTCGGTCAACGCTTCTCAGCTCGGCAGGATGTCACTCCCAAGGACCTTCACCACCGACATACCTCGCGCAGCCCAATTTCTCCGCACTCTCACTCCCAAACCAGTAGACGAACACCAACAAGCCTACCGCATTCGGCTAGTCCCATCAGCTCTTAACGCCAACGCCTTCCCCCAACTTGAGCTGGAAGTCACTGCCAAAACAAGCAGCACACCCGAAGATACAACACCCGAATTCTCCATGCGCAGCGCAAAACTCGTTATCTCCGAAAGCAACGTCGACTACCTCCTCCCCGAGAACGGACTTGACCTCCGCTTCACTCGCAAACTCACCCGGGAGCTCCTTCCCCAGGCCCAAGACAGCAACTCCTTCTCCCTCTCAAACATCGAGGAATCCCTCCGAAACCTCTTCTCCCGAACTTCCACAACAGACAAAGAACTACCTCTCCCCCCGTTCACACAAGTCACGCTCCCCCGCGATATTCTTCCCCAGGACGCCGCCGACAATTCCGCAGAGTACATCTTCCTCCCCGTCAGCGATATCCGAGGAACTCGTATTCACAAGTACGATTTCCGTGGGCAGCAGCTGGATTATGCTTTCTACGAGAGCGGACCGTTCAACCCGTACCGTACCACGGATTTGTTCCTGAACATGGATATGACTGACGGTTCTGCGTCGGCTGAGTCCTCCGCTGATGTTTCTTCCGAGAGCGTGTCGCGGGATGCTGTTGCATCTAAGGATAAGTTCCACACATTCTATAACACTGCTTGTGCGTTGGCTTTCGAGTTGGATAGAGCGAGGCGCTTGGGAGCTGTTTGGAATGATACTATTTGAGTTAGGCTGGCGGGAAGCAGTGTTCAATGTATAAATAGATCTTATTTTGACGAAATATGTACAGTATGATATAACTTGTAATCGGGAAAGAATATGCCCCTCTCTGCTTCGTTTTGATGTGCTATATAGTAGCTAGTCCCAACGTCTGATACAAACAGGTTTTCTTTGATCGCAAAATATGTTTCCGTCACGGTCCCCGAAAGTCAATGCATAACATCCGATACTACTAGTGACTCAGACATCTCTAGCGCTCATTGCGGTTTAATCAAAGACTTATATAAAGACTCATCTCTATAAGTTACCGACCGATAATTACCTTTTAACTGACTCAAATTCCGATGATGTTGTAAAAATCTTGAATACCTCTCCGAAGACCATCCTCCCATGCCGCAGAATTCTCCCCGAGCTGCTCCGGGTCTATATCTCTTTTGCGCTGCTGGACCCACAACTCTATATCATAGATCTTGTCTGCACCTTTTCGCGGAGCCAAGATGCCCTGAACAGCAGCGCCAAAGAAGCGCAACGCATCATCGTATCCCAGGTTCCAGCCATGGACGAAGCTTTGACGTTCGTTCGAGCCCCAAGATTCCGAGACTTGCGACAAAACCTTTTCCTGGAATCCTGATCGTTCGGCTTTGGCTTTGTTGATCTTCTCTCGGACCTCTGTTTCGGGTAGCATCATTTGGCTAGGTATTTGGATTTTACCGATTGAGATGTCGCTCTTGAACTGAGGGATGTCGCTTTCGCAGCCCTTGAAGACTCGTTTGTTGCATTGAGCTTGGTTGTCGTCGATGTATACAGGCAAACATGCGTCAATGGCATTGGCTATCTTAAGGATCTCATCGTAGCATTCGCACATGTCAGGGGCAGGTTCACATCCGGAGGATACTGAAAGTCCGACTACCGCGGACATAGAATGGAAGGTTATTTCCTGAGCAAGAAAAGCGACGCAGTCCCGAGCTATTGTCCGATCTTTCGCACTGGCACAGAGGTTTATACCGCTGGCGCTGGCCTGGAAATCAATGAGGATTCCGATACCGTGAAACCAACATTTTTCGATTAGATGCTTCACAGTACTCCAGCAATGGTGGTACACCTCTGATGGATCCCCTTCAAAGGCTGTTCCCCGACAGAACAGGGGTCCGAGGGAGTAGAAGCTCAATGGTAAACGGAGTGTTCTGCATTGCGCTACATCCTTGAGCCAGACGAGGTCATCGTCGGTCAATGCAGAGTGCCAGTGGGATTGCCACTTCTGTCTTGTTTGCTCGAGTCCAGTGGATGCTAATGACCTGGTTATGACATACTACTATTTAGTACCTATAGAAGAGACATGATGACCATAAAGGATATTCTTAATGTGGTTTCTAGTACCTACGTTTTCAGTAACTGTAATTCATTTGACTCGCCAGTATTATCGTGCGGACCGAGTACAAAGGTAGATCCCAGGTTCGCTCCAAACTGCTGCCGGAAGCGGTAGATGTCCTGATCCCTGGGCGGAATAGGACAGTATAGTTCTGACATATCAACAACGATGCAGTGAGGGTGATTCAATGAGTAGGTACGACAACTATTAAGTATTGTTGGTCAGGTGACAAGGATGTCTATAAGAACGACAGATCAAATATGGTATAAGATGTATTGAAAATCACGTGTAAGTAGTGACACAGAACCAGATCAGATGAAGAGTAATTAATCCACCAGCAGTATTATATGAGTTGTGGTGGATGATGAAGTGTTATGGGTGGCAGCACTTGACCCTGTAGATCAGATGAGTTTCCCGAAATGGAAACCCCTCACAAGCAATGGCTACCCGTATGGGGAGGGGAAACATTCATCAAGATCAGAGATTTCGGGGCAGTGAATAGAGGGCCACGTAAGAGGGAATTTTAGCGTGCAAGACAGAACAGAAGTCAGAGCCAGAAAACATGGTGATGGAGGGGAAAAGAATAAAGAGAAACCGGTGCGAGCAAACCATAGGATCGCCGGGCGGGACTGACGTAGTTGGAAGACTGGACTCTGGCTTTAAAGGCTTTTTGGAGAACTGATGGATGGTTCACTTCCATTCGGGCTAGCGAGGGGCTCCGCATTTGGCCGAGTGTCCGTGCTGCTGTTGCTGCTGAAAATGTCGCCTGTCATCCTTCGCTTCTAAGCCTCGCTCCTCTCCAGTTACATGTTGTGAGCCGTTTTTGATTACTTGCACTTTTCTCTCTCGTTTAATTTTCTTGGTTTCACCGGTCGGTAGCTACAGCAGTCCCTGACCGTGCTGCAAATCCGTGGTGCCCAATCGGTGTGTGCTCAGTCATGAATCTGATGCAGACCGAGTAACAGGCAAGGCATGGAGCGAACACGGGTCGCTAAGGTCAGTGTTATTTGAGTACCGCAATCCAGCAGTATGGCGCACCATAATGAGATATCCCAACTAACGGCTTCTGTGATGCTTCAGGTTGAAGATGTGACCTTGGCGCGCCGAGGCGAGCAAGTGGTCGGCACTCTCCACCTCACCCCTCACCATATCATCTTTTCCCACACTCCTCCTCCTCCCTCCTCCACCGACACGTCTCAGGCTCCGGGCCCTTCTGGCCGGCCTAAAGAGCTCTGGATTACATACCCCATAATCTCCTTGTGCACCTGCCGCCCCACCCCCGCCGCATCCCGCCAGCCGTCCTCCATTCGTCTCCGGTGCCGCGATTTCACCTTTGTCTGCTTCTATTTCACCACGGAGAGCAAGGCGCGTGATGTATATGAGACCATCAAATGCTGGACCTGTAAAGTGGGCCGCATTGATAAGCTGTATGCGTTCTCGTACCGCCCTCCCCCTCCTGAACTGAAATTCAATGGCTGGGAGCTGTACAATCCTAGCAAAGAATGGGCTAGACAGGGCGTTGATCAGGCTGGTTCTGGCTGGCGTGTATCTCAGCTAAATGCAGATTACGGGGTAAATATATACACAAGCGTGCATTACCGTGTGAATTGTTGTGTTGACTCTCACCTTTCAGTTTTCTGCCACGTATCCAGCTTTGCTACCAGTCCCCTCGGCCATTTCCGACAATACACTGAATCACGCTGGAAAATATCGGTCTCGAGCGAGAGTGCCGGTTCTTACATACCTTCATCCGGTGAACAATTGCTCCATCACACGGAGCTCACAGCCTCTTGTGGGTGTGCGTCAAAACCGAAGTATCCAAGACGAAGCGTTGCTAGCAGCCATATTCTCAACCTCACGCTCAGAGAGACCTCTTGCAAGCTTCACCCCGCCTGGGTTCGATTCGGATTCCTCCAATTCGACCCCAGAAAACGCCTCACGCAGTCATATGCTGGCTGATCTGACTGTCCCTGATGACTTGGAAGCTGAGATGTTGACCTCCGTCCGCGGGGATCCGGAGGAAAGGCCCCAAATCTATGGCGCCCAACAGCACAATCTCATTGTTGATGCTCGTCCTACGGTCAATGCCTTCGCCATGCAAGCTGTTGGACTTGGATCGGAAAACATGGACAACTACAAGTTTGCCACGAAGGCTTACCTTGGAATTGACAATATCCATGTGATGAGAGACTCATTGAGCAAGGTGATTGATGCGCTCAAGGATTCGGATGTAACTCCACTGGGCCCCAATAAAGACCAGCTTGCACGGAGTGGATGGCTAAAGCACATTTCCGGAATCCTAGACGGTGCTCGGTTGATTGCTCGGCAGGTTGGGCTTCAACATTCGCACGTCTTGATTCACTGTTCAGATGGATGGGATCGTACGAGTCAGTTGAGTGCATTGAGCCAAATCTGCCTCGATCCTTACTATAGGACGATGGAAGGCTTTATGGTACTGGTGGAGAAAGATTGGCTTTCTTTCGGTCACATGTTCAGACACAGATCAGGCCATCTGAACAGTGAAAAGTGGTTCCAGATAGAGAACGAGCGAATTGGAGGAGATTCTAACCGTGGATTCGGCGAAGGCGGTGGTGCAGGCAGAGCCCTTGAGAATGCTTTCTTAAGTGCCAAGGGGTTCTTCAACAGGGATAATAACAGCCGCGATGCACTTGCCGAATCGGACGGCGAGATGCAAAGCTACGACGCAGAAAATATGAAGAAGCCTAACAATGCTATACCCAGAACTGCAGCAGCCGAAAAGGAAGTCGTGAAAGTGAAGGAGACGAGTCCAGTCTTCCATCAGTTCCTTGACGCAACCTATCAGTTGCTATACCAATATCCTACCCGATTCGAATTCAACGAGCGGTTCCTGCGCCGGCTCTTATACCACCTCTATTCATGCCAATTTGGAACCTTTCTCTTCAACAGTGAGAAGGAACGCGCAGATTGGAACGCGAAGGAACGAACTCGGAGCGTGTGGGACTACTTTCTGGCGAGGAGGGAGCAGTTTACCAACCCACAGTATGAGCCTCAGATCGACGACCATAAGCGTGGGCAAGAACGACTGATCTTCCCCCGAATCAACGAGGTCAGATGGTGGAGTGAGTCGTTTGGTCGAACCGATGCGGAGATGAACGGCGTGCGATCCTCTGGTTCTAGGCCACCCAATGGGCGTGATGCCACTAGTACTCAGCCGTCGCCAGTGTTGACCGGCATTGAAACCGCCAACCATTCTCTCGGCGCTGGATCGTCTGGGAAAGATGCCTTGAATGCGGCCTCCACTGGAATGGCGGCAGTAACCGCAGGAATCTCGAATTTAGCCTTCTCTAAGAGCAAAGAGGACGGGCAGGATTCTAAGAGCATAAATCGCATGGAAATGGAGATGCAGTAGCTCCATGCAACGAGATCTGTGATGATGATGTGATGGAGAAGAACGAGAGAAAGAGTCTGGTTACAAGATAGTGGATCTACGCTGATTTATGGTGGCCGATCTGAGTATGCCAGGTTCGAGCAAGAAAGTTCGTATCATCTCTGCGATGTATGCTTGTGGATCTAGTGCGTGCTTGGGACGTTGCATCTCTGACGAGGTAGAGTACAGTTTACAGACAGAGCGAGAGACAGAGCGAAGATTATGATTCAATGAATACAAAAGAGCGGGAACCAGCAGAATGCATACAGATGCTGGATTAGGGATATGGGCTTTGATTGTCAGTTCCAGTTTGTGATCTTGGATTGAGTTCCATAGTTACTGTAACTAGAACCACTAGAAACAATGATAAGTAATGCCTGAACCCCTGAAATCTGAGGCAGAAAGCGGGATTGTACACTAAGGGGCTTGGCGGCCCGAAGAGGGAAGGTGCCCGCCGAGCAGCAAGCGAGGTTGAGCCCTAGCCCAGAAGGGCCAGCAGAAGCCCTAAAGGCAAAAACTGCCCACTAACGCCGGCTCTCTCAAAACTGACTTGACCGCCGCCGCCCATTTCGCCCTCGCACGACACACCCCCAACCTACGCCCTCGGCCGTTTCTTCGCCAATTCAATAAAACAGAAACGCAATCATGGCTGCTGTCCAGGGAGCTATTTCGAAGCGCCGCAAGTTCGTCGCCGACGGTGTCTTCTATGCCGAGCTGAACGAGTTCTTCCAGCGCGAGCTGGCTGAGGAGGGATACTCCGGCGTCGAAGTCCGTGTCACTCCCACCGTCACCGACATCAGTACGTCCGCCCGATATTTCATTTTGCATTTGATTCCAGATCCTGTGTGTTGTGTTGGAAAAGGCCGGAAATTGGAGATTGGAAGAATCGACCGGGGAAAAGAATGGTGATCCGGGAGGAGGAAAAGAAAAACAGTTATCGGGAATACGGCCGGGAATATCAACCAACCACGGGGAACTACTGGAATTGGAGACAATTTTATATACAAAGGAAGATGGAATATGTGCCAGTTGCTAACGGATGCTTTCTTTACAGTCATCCGTGCCACCCACACCCAGGAGGTTCTCGGTGAGCAGGGCCGCCGCATCCGCGAGCTCACCTCCCTCATCCAGAAGCGCTTCAAGTTCCCCGAGAACTCCGTTTCCCTCTATGCCGCTAAGGTCCAGAACCGCGGTCTCTCCGCCGTCGCTCAGTGCGAGTCCCTCCGCTACAAGCTTCTCAACGGTCTGGCCGTCCGCCGTGCCTGCTACGGTGTTCTCCGTTTCATCATGGAGAGCGGTGCCAAGGGTTGCGAGGTCGTCGTCTCCGGAAAGCTCCGTGCTGCCCGTGCCAAGTCCATGAAGTTCACTGTACGTCTACCAACAGCGATTGATTTTGTTTTTCGAATGGTCGGATCGGTCCCGAAGCAGTGGTGGAATTTGCGCATATCCAACGACAACGATGCCTACTACGATCTGCAAGAACGAAGCAACTGTGCAAAGGACCGGACCGAAGCTCTACACCATTCGAAACACTCCATCATATGCATGCTATAACGGTATCAGAAAACTAACAACAATTCTTCTCAATAGGACGGTTTCATGATCCACTCCGGTCAGCCCGCCAAGGAATTCATCGACAGCGCTACCCGCCACGTTCTCCTCCGCCAGGGTGTCCTCGGTATCAAGGTTAAGATCATGCGCGGTTCCGACCCCGAGGGCAAGGCCGGTCCCCAGAAGACTCTCCCCGATGCCGTCACCATCATCGAGCCCAAGGAGGAGCAGCCCGTCCTGCAGCCCATGAGCCAGGACTACGGCGCCAAGGCTCTTGCCGCTCAGCAGGCCGCCGAGCAGCAGCGTCTGGCCGAGCAGCAGGCCACCGAGGCCCAGGAGGGTGCCGGTGCCGAGGCTTACGCCCAGGAGTAAAGAAAAAAATACATTCCAAACAAAAGAATTTCATTTGGTTTTTTTCTTCTCCATTAGGCCCTGCTTCTCTTCTTCCTTGTTCTCGAATATCATCTTCGTTACCTAGTCTCTCTCCTGTCCCGCCCCTTAACCTAACCTAACCTAACTCAAACCTCTTCTATATCTCTTACCTATGACGCATCCAAATAAACAACTACTTTGATGACCTCTAAGCTGTTTATATCACCCTTCTCTTTCCCGTCAACGACGGGGTGGGGGAGATAGTTGCGCCTTCTGTGATTGTATTTTCTGCCTGGTGGAATATCTAGGCGGAAATGGAATGAGAAGATGGAACAGGTTGATGAGTTGGGTTTTCCCTTTCTCATTGGCTTACGTCATAGGCTGGGTCAGGGTAGGACCTCGATTTCATTGATACCTAGTACCTAGGGCACGTGGGAAAAAGAGATTGTTTGGTCTACTAGTTGTGGAACTGTGTTTATTCGTAGGAATATGTAGTCATGTTACACGTAGTTGCTTTCCTATAGATTATAGGGATTTATATATTTTATCGTCTAAGCGCATCCTGCCCGTTTCAAGTTACCCCACAGGCCTATTACTACTGTAGCGCTACAACAGGAGTTATAAGAAGCCGATGAACTTGATGCTAATTACTAATACTACCAGACCTAAATACAGTACTCCTGCTTTGATGGGTTACAACTGAGTTGACGGAGTGATGGCCATTCTTTCAACACCCGATATGTATGTAAGTAGTACCTACTGTACTATATATTATGAGTGCTCTATAACCTACCAAACTATCAGTCTATCTTGGGCCAGTTGTCGGTCCTGGTGGTATTAAACTCAGGAAATAACAATAAAAAAGATCAATCATGGCATCAGCTATTTTTCTATGTAACATCTATCGTCTACGCATGACTTGGCTTTGATTCAACACCGCCGCTTACAAGAAAGCTTCGACGTTGATCTCCAGAGTGCTGACGGGGTACTTCAACTCGTAGTTCTCCAACACTGTCGGGTGCAGGATACCGAAGGCACCGATGACGTGCTCCTTGCCAGCTATGCGCACGTGAACGGAGGCGGCGTGTCCGGGGAAGTAGGTGGGTTCTAAGGCATCCAGTTAGTAAACGATATTCTGCGAGAGATGTGATCCTTTTGATTTACCGTCCAGCTCTTCAATCCAGTACTGGGAGTCAGCCATGGCGGGGTTCTCAAGGCCTTCCTCGCCGGTGATGAAGGCGCTCTTGAGCATGGCCATGACGCGGTCCAGGAGACCGTGGACAACTTCGAATCCACTCGTCTTGCCATACCAGGCAGCGGCAAAGTGCCTCTCGTTACGACTCTTGCGCTCCAGAGACAGGTCCTTGAAAGCGACATCGCTGACCTCGAAGACCTTCATGGGCACGGTGTGATGCTTGTTCTCACGGATGGTCTTGAGCAGACCGGGCAGCAGGCTGGTGCGGACAACCTGGAACTCAAGAGTCTTCGGGTTGGCCAGCTTGACGGCGGTGTTACCGTCGTCCTTGCGGTTGAGCCAAGCGAAGTTCTCGTCGTGCGAGCACAAAATCAGGGGCAGCACCTCAGACCAGCCTGCCATGGCAGCCTCCATGCGCACAATATCGCTGAGCTTGTTGATGGGGAGAGGTTGGGCAATGGTACCGGACTTGCTAGGGAAAGACCGGGGAAGGTTGTTGAAGCCATAAGCGATGGCGACATCCTCCATGATGTCGGCTTGGTGGAGCACGTCAGCTCTCGTCGGAGGAATAAACACATCAATCAGGTCCTTAGAAGCGGTAGAGGGCTTCGCATCGTAAGCCATCTTCTTCAGGAGCGTGCAGATCTCTTCGGGGGAGAGCTCCAGTCCGCAGCACTGGTTGAGGTAGGAGACCTCGGCCTGAGTCGTACGGGGCGCAATGTCGGGGACGACTCTAGTCTCGTTGTTGTGATCAGAGATCACCTTAACTGGCTCAATCCTATTTGTTCAGTGAGCATGGGTCCGAGGTCAGAACCGAGAGGAAGGGGCATACGTGAAAGGCTCCGAGGTGTATTGAGAGAACATGGACACAATGATCCGGTTAACAATCTCGACCTTAGTCTTGTCAAGTGCAGTGATTTCGATGAAGACGTTCTTGGTGTCCAGGGTAATCTTGGAGTGATCGCCGTTGATGATAGGAGGAAGAGAGCAGACGGTTCTCTTGGAGTCGTAGATCACTGGGTAGACGGGAGAGTCGCGGATGATGTGGAGGTACTTGCCCAGGTGCTTGTCTTTCTGTTATATAGTGAGCACCTAGCTTGTTCGTCTCGTCAGGCACTTGTGGGCCATACCTCGTAGAAAGCCATCAACTCCTCGCCGTTCATTTCTTTCGTCTGGTTAAGAGGGACAAACTTGATGTCCTTCGGGGGAAGGGCCTCGTATGTGAAAGGTCCCTGGATGGTGTCCAGATCGTGGGTACCGATGGAAACAAGGGTTCTTTGCCTGGCGAGGTTCTGGTGAAGCTTGTCTTGCAGGGCGATGAAGGATTCGTAACGCGCTTGATCGAACTTGATGTTGCGGAGAATGGCACCGGAGACGAGGGGACGAATCTTCATAGTCTACGCTGATATATTAGTTTCACTCAGATTGAGCCATATTTCCGGTCATTAACATACGTCCTCCTTGACGATGATGGTCTGGAGTTCACCATTGGCAGGCTCAACCAGCTTGTAGTTGGGGAGAGGCTGACGGCCCAGGAAAATGTTGAGCATGAGGGCGATACCCTCGAAGCACAGCAGGTCATATCTGGATACCTCTCAGTATGTGTACTCTGAACCATTAAAGTTATCGCGGGTGCGTACCGGTTGGCGGGGATCTCGATCTTGAGCTGCGGGGGTTCCTGCTTGCCGTTCACGATCGGTCTGTCCGAGTTGGTAGTCTGTATTTTGGATCAATACTATGACTCTCAAGAGGCGAGTACGGTTGGAGGAGAATTTACGTCTTCGTCGAGTTCAATTCCTGTGGTAAAGTAGCAGTTAGCGCATTGCCCCGCCAAACCCGGTTCAATATGTCCGACGTACCGAATTCGAAGCACAGCTCGTCGAACTCCTCGGTGGTATAACTAGCAGAGGTTGGTCAGCATGAAAAAGGGGATCCAAGGAAATATAGTGCGCATACTCCCGACCGAGCGCCTTGAAAAGCGCCTCCTTGTCAACGGAGATGGTAGGCATGGCGATGAGCGGGGGAGGTTTAAGACAGGGTAACAAGAAAAGTTGAGAGGAAGAAGAAAACCAACAGACTGCCTGAGGGTAAGGATAGTCTGTGTAGATCCCACCACGAGGTCAACCGCAAGTATTCAGCGGGGGAAAAAGGGACGGGCAACAGGAGCGCTGGGCTTTAAATCGGACTGTATGCCACCGTTTGGGTAACTCTACAGTTAGTCTAGTCGGAGTCATAAAGTCTTTTGTTCCCCGTTGGGGCTTGACCCTCTGTGAGGGCGGCGGGCAAGCCACTGAAACGTGCACCGCCACAAGGCCATCACCCCTCCTTTTTTTTCTCTTTGCTCGAACCTCACCGGACTCGGACTGCCGTACGGGACAGTACACCGCCTGCTTGCGCTCTCACCGTCACCAGCCACAGCCCGGCCTCCAAGTCGAAAGCAACCTCCAGCAAGCCCATCTCGTCACCTTCGCAATTCCCCCCCTCCCACGGATTAGCTTGATATCACCTCTTACAAGTCTTCTATTCTACCCCCTGTCGCATCATATACGGGGCTCTTTTGTCTTTCACGGTCATCTTAGATTGGACCATATTCCCTGTTTGGTCCCGGTCCAATTGTCGAGGTATGATGATAATGATGTTCTTGCTGCTGTTGTTGCTCAAGTGTCCTGCGGCGGCCCAAACCCCACGAAACCTCGCTCCGGGGTTCTCACTCACCCTCTACTATCTCCTCCTCTCCATCCCACCACGCTTCCCCCCGCTAACTCAATACTTTTCCACCTTTGTATAGGCTCTTAGCATCCTCCTCCTTCTTCACGATATCCCCGCCCCCTTTTGCCGGATTGCCTTTCTTCCTAGGAAATATTCGTCGTGTTCGCGTGCGAGCGGGTCGGATCGTAGCCTGAACGAGGACTTGGACCGGTCACATCCTTGCCTCTCTGCGTGTTTCCCTAACTTTCAACCTCACACTTATACATCATTTTCGCAATGGAGGGCCAAGGAGAGAACGACGAGCTTTACCCTATCGCTGTCCTTATTGATGAGTTGAAGGTATAGTTGCCCTCGTGATCATCCTATCCCTGACGCACGACATCGGCAGTCCTGATCCTTTGAATGCCATAGCATGACGATGTACTCCTCCGCCTCAATGCCATCCACCGTCTGTCTACTATCGCCCTGGCCTTAGGGCCTGAGCGGACCCGGGAAGAACTTATCCCTTTCCTTGATGGTTAGTACCGTCAACGCAAGAAGGATAGCTTTCTGGTCAAAAATGTTTCCCCTAACTCTTGCGCCTTAGATTCTGTCGAGGATGAAGATGAGGTTTTGACTGCACTGAGTGAAGAGCTCGGCAATTTCATAGAGTATGTCGGAGGTCCGGAGTACGGGCACGTACTCCTCTCTCCGCTTGAGAACTTGGCTGCTATTGAAGAGCCTCTGGTCAGAGAAAAGGTTGGGGAGCTGCAACCGATCTCTTTTGTGTTATCCTCCCTTCTTACTGACCTTGTTTCAGGCCGTTGAATCCCTCAATAAGATCGGTGAGCAGTTGTCCGAGAAGCAGATCGAAGAGAATTTCATCCCGATGGTTCTACGCCTGTCGAAAGCCGACTGGTTCACCTCGAAGGTTTCCGCGACCGGCCTCTACTGTGTCCCGTATAGGAAGGCTTCTCCGTCGTCACAGCAGACCCTTCGGCAATACTATGGAGGTCTCGTACATGATGACACACCGATGGTGAGGAGACAGTCGGGCAACAACTTGGCGAAGTTTATCAAAGAATTGAATACCCAAATCGTTATCGACGAGATGATACCCTTGTTTCAGCACCTTGCAACAGACGAGCAGGACAGTGTGCGCTTGCTTACAGTGGATGTTCTCATCTCGATCGCGGAAGAGATCCCCAAGGAGCAGCAGCCCAGCCATGGTGTCCTTTTGACCTCCTTGCGCAACCTGTTCGAGGATAAGAGTTGGAGAGTTAGGTATATGGTTGCTGATAGATATGAGAAGGTATCATCTGTCCCGACGATGCTCATTCGGCCGTGCGTTGTGTTGTTCTGACCTCGTTGGTAGATCGCTAAAGCCGTGCATGAAGAGGTTGTAACTCGTGATATGGTTCCCTCTTTTGTCAAGCTTCTGAAGGACACCGAAGCCGAAGTCCGCACTGCCATTGCTGGACAGATTCCAGGTATGATTCTCGCCTACTTTAGGACCTTACAAGGACTAACTGGCTGTTAGGCTTCTGCAACCTGATTGACCGAGACACATTGCTCAACGAAATCATGACTAGCGTGGAAGACCTTGTCTCTGATCCATCTCAGCATGTGCGTGCCGCGCTTGGTACTCAGATCAGCGGTCTTGCACCGATACTCGGAAAGGAAGAGTCAGTACCACCGATTCGCAGACGCCGATTAACCAGGTTGCTCACAAGTCATGTTCAGGACCATTGCGCACCTCCTCCCGATGTTTTTGCAGATGCTCAAGGACGAGTTCCCGGATGTCCGCCTTCATATCATCTCCAAGCTGGAATTGGTCAACAAGGGTGAGACGAACAACTCGCGTCCATCATTTAAAGAATTCGCGATCTAACTGTTATAGTTATCGGCATCGATCTTCTCTCACAGTCACTTCTCCCGGCTATTGTCCAGCTGGCTGAAGACAAGCAATGGAGAGTGCGTCTCGCAATCATCGAATACATCCCCTTGCTTGCAAGCCAATTGGGAGTCAAGTTCTTCGACGAACAGCTCAGCGAACTTTGCATGGGCTGGCTCGGTGATACAGTTTTCTCTATCCGCGAGGCTGCTACTCAAAATCTGAGGAAGCTGACGGAAGTGTTTGGTGTTGACTGGGCTAAAGGCTCTATCATCCCTAAGGTGATGGGGATGGGTCAACACACCAACTACCTGTACAGAATGACAACATGCTTTGCCATCTCCGTATGTTGATTAATCGTCCCTACAGACGTTGCCTTGCTAACCTTATCCAGACTCTCGCACCCGTTGTTTCTCTGGACATCATCGAGAACTCGATCCTCCCCATCTTGGATCGACTTGTCTCGGACGAGATTCCTAATATCCGTTTCAATGTGGCCAAGTCTTATGCCGTGCTGATTGATACCCTGCGTCGCCTCCCTACAGAGGGAACCCTCACAGATCTGGAGAAGGCAGGTAAAACTGCCACGCCATCCCCGCGGGGTCAGGATCTCATCCAGCAAAGAATCCTCCCCAGCTTGGAGAAGCTGCAGGAGGACGAAGATGTTGATGTTCGGTACTTCGCAACGACTGCCGCAGGCGGCCACGAGGAAGTCATGCAGACTTCACCGTAGGCTACTTTCCCACCTCGGCGCAGGCCAACACCTGCTTGTTGATGCAAAGCACCTTGGGTGTGAGTGGGAATAATACCAACGGCACTCGCACTAATTTGGGTGGAATTCAGTTTTGTCAAACTTAGAAATAGTCAGAGCGTCTGACTGGTACGAAATGCTCATGGCGTTCTAAATGTAGATTCTTTTGGTCCACGATTAACCCTCCTGCAAAAATTCCTCTTATGTTTCCCGAAAATGTAATTGCAAATGTGTAGCATCTGAATGCTACTTCATGAGAATAGCTGATTTGAAGCAGCGAACAACTTGGTAGATACCCTTCAGTATCATGTGATCCCGAGGGCCTAGGATGCGCTATTTCCGAAAAGCCGTCGGTGTAAGCCAGGCATCCGTTTATTTAATCTTTAGTCCACGTGTAGTTCCTGAGTCTGAGAGGTTGCTCGATATCTCCAAACCGCCATTGACGCTGCTGGACGCCGCATTTTATTACTCTTGTTGGTTTATTTCCCCGCAGCCGTGACTACGATGTCGTCTACTTGGCCGTGGCATTTCACGTCTCTCACAGACGCTGAGAAGCAGCAACGCCGGGAGCTTCTTGATTTACGTGGACTCTACGCGCAGTGCTCCGTGTTGGTTGCTCTTGTTTTGGTTCGAGTATATAAGAAGTCCTTTAGCGAAGCCCCTGGCTCCGAAAAGCCAGCCGAGAGGCGCTCGCGGCGAAAGAATTCGGAAAAATCATGGTTGGATACGCCCCCAGTTGCTGGCTGGATGGAGACCCGAAGACAATACATTGTCTGTCTCATCTGGCTTGGCTGGCTTCTGAGTCTTTGCATCTGGAATTCTGGTGAAGGTGGGTCAATAATTTCTATCATAATTCTTGATACTACTAGTACCCGAGCTTGGGGCATTGGGCAACAGGATTACATTTGTCTGGGCTCCGATTTGCCAGAAATCTACACTTTGTGTTCATCTAAGCTCCCGCTAACTACAACAATCCTCTGTCTTCTATTCTTCTATCACCCACATCGTGGAGACGAAAGCTAAGCCATTGTTGGTGTAAACAGATTATCTCCACTTCACCAAAGCTCTAGCCCATGTCAGCCTCTCCCAGCTCCCCTTGCAGGTGCTCATGTCACCGTCCTTGTACATGAGTCCATCACCAGGATCACCGTCCGTCGTGTCGGTTATCACATCCGTTCCGCAGCCGACCATTAACGCCTACCATCGTCTATTTGGTCGAATCGTTCTTGCGCCGCTGCTCATTGCCCACGCTTTCATGTACGATTCTTTCTTCCTGCAGTCGAGCTACCCTGGCTTCAGCTCGCTCTTTGCGAAGCGTATCTGGGATTCTGATGTTCAGTGGGGTGTCGCTGCAGCCACCATGGTGGGCGCGGTCGCTCTCTTTGCGCGACCGGCAGCCATGCCTAGCTGGGTACGCTGGTTGAAACCGACTTCTGCCAAGTCCAGACAGCAGGTGTTTTACCTTGTGCATGTGTCCATCGTGGGAGCCTTGGAACTTGCAGCGTTCTGCCATGTTTCGGTGGCGCGCACCTATATCCTTGAGTCTTTTGCGAGCTCCGCGATCAATTTCGCCTGTTGCTATATGATGCAATAGACTGTCTTTTGTGAGGTCTGGCATGTTCGTTGCTGAAAAGTGATGTTAGAACAGCGAATCATCAGAGTTGTGGCCTGTGAGAAATAGTATTATTAATGATACTTGTGTCCTACACTCCCATGACAAGGGTGTGTGAGGACTGATGGTGTTGGGTATCCGAGTAAATATACTAATGGGATTTCTAGAACATAGTATAAAGCCTTATTTCCCTGCAAAGCAAGTAGACACAACTTCAGTGATACGGTTAAATAGTAGATAGTAGCGAACAAAGGCCATACAATCGACGCAACGTACACCCTGCGGCATCGCGTTTAGCATCCCAATAACTTCTCCTACCAATGGTTAGCTTTTCTTGATGAGCCAAAAATGGCACCCATTGTTGCTTCATACAATAAATCTGTTGGACCGGGCTACCAACAACTGGAGCCCTGCTTGAATCTAGTTCTGCTTGAATGCTGCAGGCCCTAGACCATGGGATGTTTCTTTCTTGCTCTTTTGTGGTATCACTCTCGTTGAGCTGCTTCGAGCGTCTATATCTCTATCATTTAACGGGTTACATTTTCCATCACCATCACCACTGTAGACTCTTAGCTGCTAGAGCTACCTCTTCGTGTTGATTCCTCCTGCGATCCATACCACCTAAACTAATTGGGCGGTTCGAGTCCGCCACTGCCAATTGTGGTCCACCCAGCTTGGTACGTATTTCAACCAGTGATCCACTGCACTCGATTAGGCAATGTAGTTCGTACATGCAAACAAACTTCATGAGACTCGCACTGAGTGACTTTCGGCGCGCCGGTGCCTAGAGTGACTGGGTGACTGGCTCCTCCTCCTTTTCCTTTCTGCTCATCCCACGGGCAAGAGCCATACGCCACGAGTCGCGTGCGCACTTTCCAAGTTTGTGCATGAAGACATTCCTATCAGAACTTCCGATACAGTCAACTCTTCATTGTAGCACGTTGCCTGGATAAGGGACAGAGTCCGCTGCTTCTATACATTTCTTTCAAACCTTTCACTCAAAGCCACTAGCTGCTTGCTCATTGTTCCTATCTCGCATCCATCGGTGTGTTGTATCCACTAGGCACAGCCATGGTCAAGTATGACATTCCCACTCTGCTGGCCCTCAGCCACAACGGACGAATAGACTTCAGCAAATTTAGTGAGCAGGCGATTGGACGTAAGTGTTTCGTTTTTATCTAGGCATACTAGTGAATGCTGGAAACGAAGAAGCAAGTTTGCTTACACAGCCGTCTTTTCATTACCAGATAACGTGCTTCGACAACACAAGACCAGTACGAGTGTCTTGTCGGAGCAGCCAGTCAACCGGTCAAGGAATGCCTCTACTTTGTCACGCCAGAGCGAACGGACTCAATCAGTTCCAGAGCACTCTGTACTTCATCCCTCTCGGCAGCCAAGTGACCCTCCACAAAGCATCCGGGCACACGCCGATGCCGGGTTTGCTCAGTTCCTGAAGAAGCATACATCCCCGAAGCATCAGCGTGTCACGGCTGGGGGCCGAATCGTTCCAATGGAACCACAGTCTCCTACCCCCAAGGCGAAGCAGCCGGTGCGCAGCATAAGTGCACGAGCCAGTGATCAGAAAATATCCAAGTCTTCATTGCGAGATGTCAACAGAAACAAACGTGAAAATAAACAAGTGCTGTTGCCAGATAACAACGCAAGTGTCGACATTTCTATAGCTGCACCGCAGCCTGCTGAAAGTCACGATGATTTACGTACCATACTGGCCCAGGGCGGTTCTGCAATTGACAATCACTTCTCAGGCTATGGACAGGCGCCGAGTCTTTTGTCTACCGCAGCTACCACTGGTCTGTTCTCCCAATCCAGTCTTCCATGGGCGATGGATAACCTACCAATGCCTCAAATCGCCCTACCATCCTCCGACGTTATGCCAGGGGCCTCGGACTACCCTATGTATGCCTTTGGAGATGGTCCATTATCGTGGACTCCAAATATGTACCCAACTCTTGGTACCCAAGGCCCCCTGATTCCTTCCATGCCAGCAGCCCAGCCATATCCGACTATTACCTCGACCTCTGACTTTTCCGCGGAGAGTAATACCAGTAGCGGCAGGGCGACCTCGTTTCTTGGCCAACTTCCACCTACATACGACCCTCTTTGCCCATCTCTGGGGATTCAATGGCATCAGTATGCAGGTGGACAAGTCCCAGCCCTCAGCCAACCAATGATGGTCAGCACTCCGCAAGCACCAACATACCAAAAGTCCCTGGAAGATGCTGCGAAGGAGCATGAGTCTCTGACCAGCAAGCTATCAGGTATTGACAGATATATGGCTGTGCACAGTTGGGATCTCGACCCAAGCGCCAAGAAGATTCTAGTTGATCAGCGAATGAGCCTGGTGAGAGAGTTGGATGCGGTTAGAATATACAGAGAACATCTCGAATGGGTTTCTGGAAGATTTAACACAACAATCCCAATCAAGCAGCATGCCTCGAATGTCGCCTCAATGTATTTCGCCAGCAGCCTCACAGGTAGTCCATCTCTAATGGGACCTTCGCTGTGCACACCCAGCTCCGCTTCTGCGCTTCCAGCTTTTTCGATGCTGCCACTAGCAAATGCGCTTTCGCAGTCAATCTCCCTAAATGAGACAGTTAACTCATCAATGCCACTACATACTGTAGCGGACATCCATCCATACAATACGACGATCTGCCCAACAGATGTACATCCAAACCATAGTTCGATTAAGGATGCTGGCTTTTCGCATGCCGCACGCGGAATGGAGACACGACGGGTCGAACCCAAAAGGTCAGACAAACAGGTCCAGACATATGGTGAGGCCAGATCGAGAACTACTGACGGGTCTGCTGGATGGAAAACACCGACGAAGATAACCGCTTTAGACGTTGAGAAGGTGCATCATCAAATTGAGGAGGCCACTCGTCGAGGCGAACCCCTTGATGGGCTCCTCAGGGAACTATCAGTTGCTACTTCCAATCTAATTAAACAAAGGCGAGATGAGCTTCATGAGCCGCGCGGGCCGCTGCCCGCTGTGCCTGCCAGACAAAACCGCAAGAATCGCGCGGAAAGTGAGGCGGGTGCCATCAAGGAACTATCAGACAAACATGAAGCCCATGCACCTCTGATGCGACACTCAACCAAGGCCTGGAAGCCCGGGAAGGAGCTGCGAAGGCCTGGACTGCACAGCGCAACGGGCCCGTTTATGAGTGCGACAGAGCTGGAAGAGGGTGATGATCGTCAATCAATATCATCGTATGTGTCAACGACGGACTCATGGGCTACCGTTCATCAAGGAGAGTAAGTCCTATCGCTCTTGACTGGCAGTGACCCTGGAAGGTACTAAGTTTGCAGGCGCCGACGTGACAAAAAGCTACGAAGAATCAAAGAAAGGAGGGCGATTCAAGAGATGGCCAAAAGGTAGTAAGCATCTTGAAGCATAGGCAAGCAGGCTGATCATGTCTCGCAGCAGACCCCGTGGTCCATTTGAGCATCCCATCGTATCGGATGAAGCCTTTTCACCAGGTCCTCAACGTTCTAGAGGGCAGAATTTGGGCGCACCAGGAGGACCATCGATATACAAGCCACGCAGCCCCCCAACGTTGGTTAACCCGACTGAACCGGCGAGGCAGACAAGCGTGGACGCGATGAGACAGCAGTACCCCCAGCTTCTGACGCAGTACTTCAACAAGGACCGTGGTCTAGCCTTCCAGAAAACGGCTGCCTTGGCTGTCTCGCAGAATGTTAATGCGCATGGGTTTCTGCCCCCTTTCGAAGGCGTAGGCAATGCACCCAGTAAGAACAGGAGTGCACCGACGGACATGACCGAAGGTGGAATGTATATGTTCAGCGGAAGGACGTCAAACTCGAAGCAGCATGCTGGACCCGGGCCAAGAGGGAAAGAGGCTCCTGGACCAGCCAAACAAGCTGGAAAGCCATGATAGAGTCGGCTAGAGCGAGGTCACCGCGGCGTCCACATATACGTTTCTGTCTGGAACCGATAAACGGGGGTGAGATGACCACCAGCAATCAGCGGTGAGCCCTGGAGAGCAGGGTTCGAAGGGCATTGGGGCAAGCAGTTGGAGATATGGCCGTATGGCATCATTGTATTACATGTATTCAAGGGTACCTATCGTTCCACAGAGTCGGGCCCTTACGGTTGGAGTATATCTTAGAATGGGGGATTGTTTTAGCATGGTATGACGGAAAAATGTTATTTTCAAAAGTCGTTGTGGAGGAAAGCCCAGTCTAACTTATGCTGATGCAGCCAAACCCAGGGAATAGTAGTTAGTAGTTAATTAACGAGATGCAGTCGGTGTTGAGTTCACTGGTAAAGCTGCTCCTATGAGTACAGTAGGGAGTGGTATAGATCAGTAGCGATTGGGAGATTCTGGCTTCAGCCCAAATTCTCTCGAAGCCAAGATAATTTCATTGCTGAAGAATCAGGTGCACAACGGGAAAAACAGAGTCGATCGTTACTCTGTAGTTGAGGAGGCCAGAGCTCCCCTTGCGTGGATGATGGATTCCCCCACATCCAGCATCCGTCGCCTGACTGGTTGGTCCTCCGCCACACCCCGCAAAAAGATGTGAGGTCGCATCTCGTATTCTTGGTTTTGACTCAGTAGGGAGAACAAGACGAAGAAGGTATACCTGTGACCAGCAGGGTGTGTGAAGTGAGTGTATGAAAGTGTGAGTGGTGAGGATACTGTAAATGTATGTAATAAATTCTTAGTATATAACGTAAGTAACAAAATAAGGCACAGCAACAACAACAACAACAACAGCGGCGATGATGGCTGTGTTTTTAGTTAGTATGAGGCAAAGCCAGACCGTTTCCATGTTTTGTAAATGACCCACGGTGAGACAAGTGGGCAAGTTTCGGGGAGAAGGGCCGGAGTGCCTGACGGTCCTATCAGACGCGCTGGCAGGCCCATGGGATGGCGAGTCATCCATGGGAAGTTCTAAAGCTGAATCGAACAAGTCCAGAATGTGGCAAGGCACCGGCCAATCTGCAGAGAGCGCTGGCTGGCTTTGGTGTGAGAGAGCCGATCGGATCTTAAGATGACTTAGTCAATTAATAATAAGTGACTAACTACGAGGTACGAGAGGAACGAAGGCATTTGAGGGACAAGTTGAAATGGCAGACAATACTACAGTAAGTAATATTGTGAGTCTGTGACATCGGATATGCATACCGATTACCGATTACATACCGAGCCAAGGAAGGATAGGATGATCTGGGCTGGGATGAAGGAATAGATTGGATTGCTGATAGCAGATGGATACGACAAGCCGATACTACGGTGATAAGTGACATTTATCGGGCTTTATCGGCTCTCCTTTTAGTTTTAGTAGTTCTTACTATTTACTCAGACGGTTTAGTGCGGATGGTTAGTGACGGTGAGAAACACTACTAGTGACCGTACTAAACCCGGTATGGAGGCGTATGATGTATCATGCCGGGCAGCGTGACTAAGCCCAGGCTGTGCCATTCCAACTTTCCCTCCACGTCTCCACTCCGTCTCCGGCCCTTTCGCTTTCTCTCTCTCTTTTGTCTTCTTCTTCTTCCCCTGCTGTTTCTGTTCTTTGAAAGCCCGTCTCGGTTCGGGGATTCAATTCTTCGACTTCTGTTCTTTCTTCCTGTGATTCCTTTGCGACCTCTGCGAACGCTGCGTTTCTCCCCGCCCGCGGTCTAGTAGCCGAGGTGTCTGTCCATTCACAACCAAACCCCCATCGTTCCCGGGCTGGAAGTGCCTCTAAATCCAAGTTTCTGGTGCGACTAGCACCACCGCCTACCAATTTCCCCCGCGGCTTCTGGCCCGTTACTGGGGCCCCCTTCCTCCCGTCGCAATTATTATCTTTCATCGCCTACCTGCCCCGTTCGTTATCACCAAACTCAACCCGAGTACCTGGCCACGTTCCTGGACTCAATCCAGGCAGTCACCGGCATGACACAACTTTTCGCCTCCAGTCCGTCCTCCGTGACGAACGAGAAACGCGGGAACTTTCCCAGTCTCTCCCTGGCCTCCAAGAAGCATTCCAACGATTCGAGCCACTTCCCCACCAGAATCAAGAATTTCTTTCGCATCAACAGTTCCAGCAGCAATTCTTCCCATGCCAGCCACCACAACAATGAATCGCGTGATCGCGATGGCAACACCTCACCACCTGCAAAATCAGATGCCAAATCCGGCTTTAGACAATCCCGGTTCCTTCCCACTATCGGCCGAAATCGCTCAACCACCGTTGCCAGTGAAGGCAATCCGCTAGACGAAGGCGTCTCCCCGACCGCAACGGCCAATCCATACTTTGTCCACCAGGGCCAGCCTTCGTTACAGCATCGGAACGATGGCTCGGTGCCGTCCTCCCCTCCCGATACCCCCGAATTGCAGGTGGACGGGGTCTCTGCTGCCGAGCAAGCCACTACAGCCAACAAGGTTGAATTGGCTCGTAAGCTCCGTCGTGTTGCTTCTGCCCCGAATGCGCAGGGTTTGTTTGCCCGTGGTGGGTCCGACGAACGTCCGCAGACGGCTGAGGCTGGAAAGGAACTTCTGGAGCCGTCTGGGGTTGATGATCCACAAGTCACTACGGTGGAGGTGGCGTCCGACAAAGATGTGAATCTTGCCGTGCCGAAACTTGGTCCCCACAGTAAGATTCCTACTCCCGGCCAGATTCGGGATTCGGTTGCCTTCCGCAGGACATATAGTTCCAACTCAATCAAGGTGCGCAATGTGGAGGTAGGACCGGGGAGCTTCGATAAGATCAAGTTGATCGGAAAGGGTGATGTGGGCAAGGTGTACCTTGTCCGGGAGAAGAAGTCGAGCCGGCTCTATGCTATGAAGGGTGGGTTTTGATGTCTGTGGCCTTGTCTATTGGCGAAGTATGCTGACTTGACTAGTACTGAGCAAGAAGGAGATGATCAAGCGGAACAAGATTAAGCGGGCATTGGCCGAGCAGGAAATTCTCGCCACCAGCAACCATCCATTCATTGTTACACTCTACCATTCCTTCCAGTCCGAGGACTATCTCTACCTGTGCATGGAATACTGCAGTGGTGGCGAGTTCTTCAGAGGTGTGTAAGACGTATGCCAGGATGTTGACTGTTGCTGACTCTTCTAGCTCTTCAAACCCGCCCAGGAAAGTGCATTTCCGAAGATGCTGCGCGATTCTATGCGGCAGAAGTTACTGCTGCTTTGGAATATCTCCACCTTATGGGTTTCATCTACCGTGATTTAAAGCCAGAAAGTATGTACTGTAATAGTTAAAAGAGGTGTTGAGTGCTGACAATATTGCTCTAGATATTCTTCTTCACCAGTCTGGCCACATTATGCTGTCTGACTTTGATCTGTCGAAGCAATCCGGACCGGGCGGTGCGCCTACAATGATCCCGGCGCGGAGTGGCAATTCCACAACGTCTCTACCGACGATTGACACCAAGTCATGCATTGCCGACTTCAGAACCAATTCATTCGTCGGTACGGAAGAGTACATTGCACCCGAGGTCATCAAGGGTTGCGGACATACTAGCGCCGTTGACTGGTGGACGCTTGGTATCTTGATCTACGAGATGCTGTACGGCACGACGCCGTTCAAGGGCAAGAACAGGAATGCTACTTTTGGCAACATCCTGCGAGATGAGGTGCAATTCCCCGAGCACTCAGCGGCCCAGCCAACCTCCAAGTAAGCTCTCACGGTCATGCTTTACCACACAGTTGCTAACATTCGCAGCCTCTGCAAATCATTAATTCGTAAACTGCTCATCAAGGATGAGACCAAGCGCCTTGGAGCTCGAGCCGGTGCTTCGGACGTCAAGACCCATCCCTTCTTCCGGCAGACGCAGTGGGCGCTTATCCGGCATATGAAGCCGCCAATGATCCCCCACCAGAGCCGTGGAACGGATACTCTCAACTTCCGCAATGTCAAGGAGAGCGCGAGTGTCGATATTGGTGGATCCAGCACGACCAAGATGAAGGGTGTACCGATGGATTCAGGTCTTGCGACGCCGAATGGCGAGATAGCCGATCCGTTCGAGGAGTTCAACAGCGTCACCCTTCACCATGACGGAGACATGTGAATGGCCCGATCGTGCACCACCAGCGCTTTCTGCCCGCCCAAGCATACCTCGTATTGTTCGAGGCTAATTTTACGACTATGATGCATGAAAGATCTCTACACGGAGTTCACCATCTTACAGCTATTACCTGGAGTATCGGAAGTTTGACATTGGGAGTTTGCTTTTCTTTCTCTTATACACAGGGTGGTTATCGATATATGCTGATATCCTATGACTGCGTCCCCTCATGCATGGGCTAATATTCGGCTGTCACTTTATGGTTTGATGCGGCAGCGATGTATCAGTTTGACTCTTTTGATTCTATCACAGTTATTGCAGCAGACGGCGTTAGCGATTTCGGTTGTACCTTAGCAAACAGATCTTTTGAGCAAAAACAGTGGTGTGAGAGGTCACTATGCAATTGGCCTGCTGACACAGGGACTGGTTTTGGTCGGGGATGCTTTCTGTTCTTTATTCTGTATTTGTGGGCGACTTATTGATGCTTGGATGTCCGATGGGACAGGCCCGGTGCCTTATGGACATGATTATGTTTATGAATTTATATGTATTTTCTAGATTATTGCTCTTCATGTTCTAGTATTCCGTAGTACGCTCCCCCTCGGAAAGACATAGCAGCTACATAGTAGTCGAGTTGAGACACGACGGAATCCCATCCGCCGCGACCCAAACAAACCAAACCAGATCCAAACATCATTTCACCTACCTTAACAACAACATACCCCAAACAACCACCAACCCAACAATTACCCAATACACAATCACGGACACTCAAAAGAGAAAGTGAACAAGAAGAACCCCCATCAAAATGTCCTCCCCACCCCAGGACCACGACCACTCCGCCATCCACACCGAAGACCCCTCCCCCTCCTCCGCGACAGAAACCCCCAACCCTCTCCTCCGCACCACAAACCCCCTCGTCAGCTCCCTCGAACAAGAAGTCCTAGATGAATATACTCGTCTATTAGGGAATGTGAATAAGGTGCGTTTCCCCCCAAACCCAAACCCCATCAACTCCCAATCCTCTCATCCACTTAAAATATATCCAATCCTACAAACACCCTTCAAGCACAGATGACGACCCACCACTCCTCTTCCCTGCAATACTAACAATATTTGAATATGGTATAGTTATCAACCAAACTCTCCACACTCGCCGAAAACCCCACAACCCTTACGCTCGACGGGCTCCGCGGCCTGGAACGCCAAACCGCGACGGTCTGCACGCTGCTCAAGGCGAGCGTGTATAGTATTGTTCTCCAACAGCAGATTTTTAATGAGAGTGAGGAACAACAACAGCAACAGCAGCAGATGCAGATGCAGGAAATGGAGGACGGGGATGGGTATTCGGGGATGATGCAGCGGCAGGAGGGTGAGGGGGTCGAGTATGGGTATGGGGATGGAGGGTATGGGGGGTATGGGGCGGAGGGGGAGAGTTTTGGGAGGTATTGAATTTATGGATATTTTTTTATTTTTCGGTTTCTCTTGGGTGTATGGTTGTTTGGGTTGTTGGTGGATAGATGGTGTGATATATGATATACCCCTGTCTTTTCTTTTATGGTTTCTAGAGTTATTCAATCATTGAGTATTGCTTTGATGCTGGTGGATACAAATACATGTTTAGACTGAGAATACAAGATCTGAACAGAAGAAAAAGAGAAAAAGGGAAAACATTATATACACCGCCCATGACGCAAAAGAACATGTCTGCTGCTGCTGTCTGTATGCAGTGCTGTGCCCAGAGAGATATATCTTTCTTTGTGTCTTTAAAATGGGAATAAATCCACAACCTCAAGCTCGCCGAGCTTCCCGGGACGGCCGCTCACGATGTTCCCGATCACGAACCGGGCGAGCATACATGTCCTGTTGAATGCCTCTTCCGGAATAGTACACTCCCCGTACATCGACCATCTTCTTACCCCGGGCACGGGCAATATCCTCGGGGTTGCGCTGGCTCATGAGCGCCTCGTAGGCTGCCTTAACTGTGTTCATGGGGTTTCTGGAGCGGTTGACACGGGCTGCGATATCGTGAATACCGGCCGCACGACACATTTCGAAGATCAGATGCTGGCAGCGGAGACCGAAACCTGTGGGAACATTAAGCATTAGCGTTGAAATAACATTTCAGGGTTCGGACAATCGTACCTGGGGGGCGGTGCATCAACTTCAACTGCACAGCTCCGACCTTGCCCTCGACGTCACCGAAGATGGTCCGCTTCTCGTAGCGCGGCACAGGTTGCATGTTCTTGACAGCCCGAGCGCGAGCTTGTTGGCAGGCATCGATAATTTCATCGGACTTGGCGATTCCGATACCCATAAGACCGTTCTGGTTACCGGCGACCGTAACGACGGACATACTTGGGACCTTACCCAGTCGAGTCTGGTTGCTGACACGGCGAATAACGAGGTCCTTGATGTACAGAGACTTGAGGTAATCTCTACCGAAGCCCGTGACCTGGAAGAGTCTCTTCTCCGCCTCGTTGGGTTCGTCGGGGTTCAAGAACGTAAGCTCCCCAGTCTTTGTGCGGTATTGCGGCCTTGCCACCACCTCGTCGCCCATGTGTTCCAAGGTCTCCCCATCGTTCAAGAGATTGGGTGCGAGCGCGCTGTGTCCGTTGAGCTCGTTCTCCTCCTTGCCGTGAGTCACCCGGGTGGTCTCGAGGAATCGTACGAAATCTGCCGGCTGGGGATCCTCCGATGATTCGGCGAAGAAGCGGGCAAAGTCTTCCATGAAATCATCCTCGGTCTTGAATGTCGCGTTGTAGTCGGAGTTGGACTTGGGGGCGCGAACGTGCTTGTCGACGCCGGGTTCAATGACCGAGAAATCATCGAGATACTTCAATCTCATGGGATCCCGACGAAGACGGAACTGTTCAGCCAGGTCTTTGGGGTCAATGGCCTTCTCACCGGCCTCAATGGCGGCGATCTGTTCGGGCGAGTATTCTTCCCGGAGGGCGGCCTTTTCCTCCTCGGTGTAGTGCTTGAAGTCGTCGAGCTTCACTTCCCGGTAGATTTCATCCAGGGTCTTTCCTTCGGGGGCCTTGTTGACTTCAGGGACCTTCGGTTTCCGATCGGAGAGCTGTATCGATGACAAGTGGAACTGGCGACTAGGCACGCGAGGGCCGGCGGAGGCCGCACGCGAGAAGCTGCAGAAGAGGCATCGGGCCGGACGTGCGAGACTCATGATGAAGCGGAAGAAGAGCTCTCTGGCCAGCAGAGGCCACTTGAGAGCAAATAATCCGGGGTGGTGGAGAAGGGAGGAGTAGAAGATGTGATGGACGGGGAAGTTCAAGACGGCGAAGGGAAGGACATTGAAGTTCGAGTGAAATTCTCAGCGGGTCGTTTCCAGCCAATCCCCGCCCGCCTTTTCCTGCTCACTCACTTTTTCCTTTTCCTCCACTTCTCCAACTTCCCTTTCTTCCTCCCACTTCAACTTTCACAATCCCTCCGTTTTACTTATTAACTAGTTCGGGATTCATATATGTTTGCCTTGCGGTCCCTGCGATCATATACTCTGCGAAAACTCCCAACCAGCGTTCCTCACCAGGTCCAACGGTTGGCTCTCTTCCATCAATCTGGTCGCCCGCGCAATGCGCAATTAGCCTTCAATCCTCCCACCATGCAGAATTCCGCCAAGAAGCCCGACACCGTCGCAAAGCGGCGTAAGAGAGTCAAGGCTCCCCGCGATAACAAGAGCAGTGGTTTCGACGAGGTCCTCCAGACCGACATTGATCAGCTCCTCCGCAGACACAAGCCCGAAACCGAGCTCGAGACAGAAGACGCTTCCACGCCCCCGCAACCCACCCTCCCCGAGCCTTTCACCGAAATTGAAGTTCAGGTCGCCGATGTATCATCAACGGGTGATGGTTTAGCATTGTCCGAGAACCAGGATCATGTCTACGTCGTTCCCTTCACAGTCCCCGGCGACAAGGTTCTGGTCAAGGTGGTGCGGCACTTCCCCTCTCTGTCCTACAGCATGACGGACTTCATCAAGGTCATTGAGCCTGGCCCTAAGCGCAACGATGCCGGCATTGGTTGCCAGTATTTCGGTCGGTGCTCGGGATGCCAGCTGCAGATGATGTCCTACGAAGACCAGCTCGCCCACAAGAAGCGCATCGTGGAGAAAGCCTACGCCAACTTCTCTGGTTTGATTCCAGAGTTGATTCCCGCCATCGACGACACTTTCCCATCTCCGCTGCAATACGGCTACCGGACGAAGCTCACGCCGCACTTTGCAGCTCCTGGCGGAAACAAGAGGAGGGGTAAGGGGCCCCGCGAGCCGCACAAGGAGGTGCCTCCGATTGGCTTCACTTTCAAGAACAGACGCATGGATTTGGATATCGAAGACTGCCCGTTGGGTACCGACATTGTCCGACAGGGATTAAAGAGCGAGCGCAAGCGCGTGGCCGAGACCATTGGCAAGTACACCAAAGGCGCCACTCTTCTCATGCGCGAATCCACCAGCCGCGTGCCGAAAGAGCAGGACAGCGAGAACCCTCCTGCGCCCATCAACAAGCCCGGACAGGATTCCGGCGACGTCATCCGCATCGAAAAGGATACCTACATTGAAGAGAAGCGCTGCGTGACCGACTCGAACGCCACCAGCATCGAATATGTCGACGACTACGTCTTCACCAACAAAGCCGGCGCATTCTTCCAGAACAACAACTCCATCCTCTCTGGGTTCACCGAGTTCATCCGCCAACACGCTATGCCCCCGAACAACGACCAAGACGCCAAACCCATCAAATACCTTCTGGATGCCTACTCCGGCTCCGGTCTCTTCACCATCACCCTCTCCCCGCTATTCAAGTCCAGTCTGGGCGTCGACGTTGCTGGCGACTCCATCGCCTCGGCGCGGGACAACGCTCGCGACAACAAGCTCCCTAACACTGGGTTCGCCGCCGCAGATGCAGCCACGCTTTTCAAGGACGTGCCCTACCCTCCTGACCAGACTCTGCTGGTGATTGACCCCCCGCGCAAGGGATGCAGTGACGACTTTCTCCGGCAGTTGCTGGCCTTTGGACCGCGCCGGGTGGTCTACGTCAGCTGCAACGTGCACACACAGGCGCGCGACGTGGCTGTCATGGTGCAAGGCGATACGGAGAAGAAGATCCGGTACGAGATCGAGAGCATCCGGGGATTCGACTTCTTCCCGCAGACGGGACATGTTGAGGGAGTTGCTATTCTGAACAAGACGAGTATACCCGAGTCTGCCTAGATTCATATATTTGATGGCGTTGGTGGTTTAAAAAGGGGACATGACTGATAGAGTACGCGTATATACAATGAGCCAATACCATTTGCAGCTTGCAGATTTCTCTTCATCTATACTTCACTATCATGCTGGTTCTTCGACATGCTACGGAACTAATAAAATGAGCTCAGTCTACAAATCAGGGTCTGCAATCTTCAAAACCGCCTTGCCCAAGTTCTCCCCGCGCAGCATGGCAACAAACGCCTCGGGACCATTCTCAATGCCAACCGTGATATCCTCCTTGGCATTGATACTGCCCTCTTGCAACCACTACACGCTCGTCAGCAGGTGTTCTTCTTCCCGGGGAAGATGAATTACTCACAGCAGTAACCTTCTCATTCCTCTCCTTGATCCACTTGGGCCCTATATCCTTATCCCCAACAATAAACCCGCGCATGCGCAGCCTCTTCGTGACAACATTATACAGGTTCTTGAGGCCGTACCGCTCCTCCGGCTTGAGATTATACTGCGAGACCATTCCACAAGCCACTGCAATCATCAGTCAGCATACCCCCGAAACCCAACATTCACAAAGAAGGAAAAGGGAATCTCACCAATTCTCCCGCCATTATTCATAACCTCCAACACAGCATCCAACTGCTCCCCACCCACATTCTCAAAATACACATCCACACCACTTCCACCCTCTCCACCAGCCAACCTCCCCAACGCCTCCTTCGCCCCCTCAACCCTATAATCAAAACACTCATCAAAACCCAACTCCTCCACCACATACTTCCTCTTCCTCTCTCCCCCCGCACTCCCAATCACCCTACACCCAATCCGCTTCGCCAGCTGGCCAACAACACTCCCCACCGCCCCGGCAGCACTACTCACAAACACCGTCTCGCCCTTCTTCGGTTCCCCAATCTCAAACAGTCCTGCGTATGCAGTCAACCCCGTCATTCCCAGGATGCCCACGTACTGAGACAGCTCAATCCCCGAGGGCAGCGGGGTGGGGATCTTCTGCACGGGACTGTTTGCCCCGTCGAGGCTGTTCTCCAGCGTCCATGTTTCCCCTCCGGCTTCGCTGGTGGAGGCTGGGGATATAGACAGAATGCTGTATTCCTGGATAGGCAGACGCGCGTAGATGATCTCGCCCGTCTTGAAGGATGCGTGCGTAGAGTGCACGACTTGGGCGACGGCGTAGGCGGTGATGGGCGAGTCGAGGGGGTACGGTGGGCTGTAGGATTTGATGTGCGCGGGGCGCATGCGGCCGCGCATGTAGGGGTCCAGACTGGCGTAGAGGAGCTTGGTGAGGAGGGAGTGTGGGTTTGGGGGTGGGGTGGTGATGTCGAGGGGGCGGGGAAGGGGGGTGAGGTCTTTGTGTGGGGTGGGGAGGCCCGTGGGGATGTTGGTGAGGATGAGGGACTTGTTGGGGTACATGATTGTGGTTTATTCTTGGGTTCTATGTGTGAAGAGAGATGAATTGGGTGCTAGTGGTTTGTGGAATTGGGAAGTGTGAAGGGAGTATGACGCTGGTATTTATACTACTTCTCGATTGTGCTATATGCGGGGGGATGTATGGTGCGGCGTCTAGTCGGTTTAGAGTAGGTCTATGTTGCTTGTGAGCAGGGATCGCTGCATGCTGAATGGTGTGATGTTAGTTACTATACTAGTAGTGTGCTACTGGTGCTTACTGCTAGGTTCCTGCTTAGAAATGCTAGTATTCGAGTAGTGCTTAGAAATACACTGGGCTGTTTCTTGATTTTGGAGACCGTAGCGGCATTCACCGAGGTATACGAGATAGTATCTACCAGTAGTAGTAGACTAAATGATGCAATCAGACCTATAGCAGACGCGTAACCATACATTTAGTATATACAAAATCAAGACAAACAGACAACCGTCATCTATTTACTATCACCGGATATTGGTAGCAAGGCAGCAGCATATCAAGTTAAACTATAGACGGAACCACATATTTACGAACTGCCAGGGCCTCCCAACAGCGCAAAGCGGCGCACAATACTAGGACCAATCTCGTCGTACTCTGCCTTGGTGTGGCAGTAACTGCGGAACTCCGGCGTCTGTCCGAGCAAGCTACCTCCGAACCACGGTCCATGGCGCTGTCTCTTGTGTGTCACAACCGCCACGTCCAGTCCACCACTTCTGGCGCCTCCGCTGCGCGCCTCCGACGCCCGAATGCGTGCATCCACCAGATGACGGATGTCACGCTGAAGACGCCGTCCAAAGTCCTTGTACAGCGTAGATCCACCGGACAACACAATGTTCTTGTAAAGACCCCTTCTCACATCGATGGGGGAAGACTGGATCACGCCGTCGACGACATTAGGCAGGGGGGTCAAAAAGTCCGAGGAATAAATCTCGGGGTTGAAGAAGATCTCGGGCGCCAGGAAACGTTCGTAGCCCACATCGATGCTCACGGTCCGGCCGTTGGGCGAAGTCACGGTGTGCTTAAGCAGGCGGTCCGGCTCACGGTCGTAGCGGGCGAATTCCTTGACGATGTCGGGGCACACGTAGCAGTACTCTTCCTTGACCTTCTCAGCCGTCTTCAGGCTGCTATCCGGCTCACCGCGGTCACGGAGCAAGCTCTGGACAAAGTAGGTGATATCGCGACCGGCAATGGGTATACTCTTGATAGATGATCCGATGACGTAGCCTTCGGCGACGGGAATAACGTGTGTGACACCGTCACCGGAATCGATGACCGTTCCGGTGAGAGAGCGGTCGGTCACCTTCGAGGAGGTCCACGAGGCAGCAAGGGCCAACACAGCCTGGACGGCAATGTATAGACCGGCACAGTTGAAAGACTCGAACATGATCTCGGCGGTGTTCTCACGGTTCTCCGGGGGGTTCAAGGGCTTTGTTTACAACACCCGATCAGCATTGCATCCGCGAAGAGCCATTGGAAGGAATCGAGGGGTCTTACCGGCTCGGTGAGGAGGAAGTAGTGGTCCTCCGGCTCGACGCGCAAGTACTTAAAGATGGAATTCGACCAGAACCGCTCCATGTGATCCCAGTTCTCAATCTGACCATGGCGAATGGGGTAGTTGATCGCATAACCGGGCCCGTTGGCCGCTGCCAGAGCTTCATCGCCAATGAAGAAGTCCAAGTCCTCTGTACCACGCTTCGCGGATAGATGGGAGCCTGCCCCACCACCGCTAGCTAGGAAGGACGGTTTGTTCGCAACAGGAGGTCTACCGGCAGCGGAGGAGCCAGCGCTTCCGGCACCAGCTTTGGTCGCAATTGCGGTGGGAAAGACGAAAGAGGGCGAGTCGTTACCGGCGAAACCTGGAGACTTGTCAGCCTGGAGCTTGCCGGCGGAGCTCCACGTGGAAGCTGTCAGGAGACCTACCAAGCTTGGAATAACCGGTACCGCTGAACAAAGAGAACGTGCAAGTTAGCGGATGCTCAAGTATTGTGTGATATGGGGATGGTGAATGGCATACTTGTCCATGACAACGGCCGGAGTCTGGGAAGCCATGACTGATGATGTGGAGTACACGCACACTCCCCCTGATCACTGGTCGGACAAAGAAGGAGATGGAAGGGATGTAACTAGACGATTGAATGGGTTTGAGGGGATGAGAGCGCAATCATCCAGGAACTCCGCCAGGAAGGACGGGCAAGAATTATCACGAGGAGGGAGATTGGAGGGGAAGAGGGGGGTTAAGGGACGGAGATGGAGATGGAGGCGGGCAGTAAGTTCAGGATGGATGGAATGCCTGGATGTCCTGCCTGGGAACTGCGGCTGCCCCATACTTTACGGGTAACGACGTCACGTTTGGTATGGTACACCCACTGCGGTCCACGATACACAGCGAGATATTACCTCCAAATGGATTGATTCTCACTCCTTTTGGTGATAACATTAACCAGCATTGCATAGTCGGGGAATATTCTGGTTCTTGTAGTGTACCTCTCATGTGACTAACTTCCATTGGGAGGTGAACTGGTTCTGTTCTTGAAGT